AGTTTTTTACATTTGATCCGTGCTGCTCTATAGAAGAGCTGTATTGTTTTTGGGCAAGGTAGGAACAGCCGTTGCTTCAGAAAAAGCAAAAAACTTTCCTTTCTTACGAATTTTTCAAAACAAAAGTTCACTGTGTATTTTTTAAATTAAACTTTGGATGAAAAAAAAATTTTAAAAATCTTTCAAAGAATGTTCGTTAAGCTTTAAACCTTCAAACTTTTGCTGAGCGAAACTCAGCTGCTTCGCTAGTATTATACCTTTAAACTTATGCTAAGCAAATCTTGGTCTATCCATAAGACTTTTGATGGTACGGTGTGAATATATCCGCATTGGGTTTCTACCCGATACACTAGTTTCTTTGATTTTTAATAGAAAAACAGGAATAATAAAACGAAAAACTTTTTAATACTTAAATTTTGAGATTTATTATTAAAAAGATAGTAAAAATAAGAAAGTTTAAAAAATTATTCTTCATCATTGTCTAAAGACCCCAAATTTTCATAAAAGTTGTAATATTCAAGCGGTATATAAGGAAGTAGATCAAGAAGATCTTTCTTTTTTGCAGCTGTGATACGACGTTCGTTAGGATATTATATAAATTAAATTTAAATTTAAATAAATTTAATTTGACTATATTATTATAAAATTAAATAAATCTCAAAATTTAAGTATTAAAAAGTTTTTCGTTTTATTATTCCTGTATTTCTATTAAAAATCAAAGAAAAAATTTGAAAAATTCGTATGAAAATTTTGTTTTAGTAAATTTTGGTCAAAATTTATGGATGAACCCCATGTTATTGTATGTCGTTGGAAAGGTAATAAAAAAACAATTAATATGCAAAAAGTTTGAAATCAATATCTATTATCGTTTTCAAATGAGAGCTGTTTTAGTAAATTTTGGTCAAAATTTATGGATGAACCCCATATTATTGTATGTTGTTACAAAGGGAATAAAAATACAAGTAACATGCAAAAAGTTTGAAATCAATATCTATTATCGTTTTCAAATGAGAGCTGTTTTAGTAAATTTTGGTCAAAATTTATGGATGAACCCCATGTTATTGTATGTCGTTGGAAAGGTAATAAAAAAACAATTAATATGCAAAAAGTTTGAAATCAATATCTATTATCGTTTTCAAATGAGAGCTGTTTTAGTAAATTTTGGTCAAAATTTATGGATGAACCCCATATTATTGTATGTTGTTACAAAGGGAATAAAAATACAAGTAACATGCAAAAAATTTGAAATCAATATCTATTATCGTTTTCAAATAAGAGCTACTTTAGTCAAAAACTTGGGGGCCGCAAAAAAATGATGTTCCATACATTGGAAAAAATTTAATTAATGTTAAAACTAACTGCAAATATATAGGCTTTCAGCCAAAAAAAGAATCATTGAAAATGGTTGAAAACTGTAAAAGTTATTCCAATTTACTTTTTTTAATTTTCTCACTAAGTTTGAACCGGTAAATTAACCGATAAAACCGGTTTAAAATTAATTTAATTAACATATTTTTAAAGATCAAATAAATACCTTTCCAATGATGTACAATATGTCGGCAAAATTTTGAGTTATTGAAAATATATTTAATCGACAAGCTTGAAACTGCATGAAAATGTTTTTACGACATTTTCAATATGAATTACTCAGCTATATGTTGACAAAATATTACACAGAATCATAGTAAAGCATGTAAAGTTCAAATCAAATACTTGAAATGGGTATTAAATGGCTTTTTTCTATCAAAAAAATCAAAAATTGAGTCAAGCCGAAAAAATCGGCTTCGATCTCTGTCAAAAAAACCAGAACTCTAAAGTCAACAAATGATTTCACCAGCTATCAAAATAAGCTTCAAATTTCAACCATTCATCATATCCTAATAATCTCAAAATTAAGTTTACATTACAAATACAGAACGTTGAATCAAAGGTCGTGATGAGAGATTAAATGGCAATCTACACACAAGGAATCGGTCTCTCACAGCCGCTCATGTACTTCTTATTCATAAGCAATAAAAGTTCTCCACAATATCTGCCATATTCATTAATATGAGTCATGTGTATAAACTGTCCATTCATGTCTTGATTTATCTATCTTTTTGCACATTTCTACTCATTCGCACACTTTCATCGTCCACATGATTGTGTCTTGTGCGAAGACAACAGAATGAATGAGAGAAGAAAAAAATTGTGTGAAGGCCACGAAATGGATAATATGTCAATAAAGCAATTGGGCGAGATGATAAGACACAAAAAAAGCGCTGAGCATTTGTCTATGAATGGATTATGTAATCATCATCATTCATTTTCAGATATTCTCAGCTGTATTGGTCAAAATGTGTTAATTAATGAACTCTAAAAATATGATGTAATGGCTGTGCGACCGTAAATATTGGATATGGCAAGAGAATCAGTCATAAATGATGTCCCTTTCTGGTTTATAATTTTGTGACACTTCAAACATAAGACAAGGTAATCTAAAATAGGACCAAATAGTGATGGATGTCCGAAAAATTCAATGCTTAATAGACACCATATCTGAATAAACCCCAAAATAAGAAGGCAAATTCGACCAGCATTGTTGCTATCATTACGATGCTGGTACCGATGTGCTTTATTCATGCCGTCATGTAATAAGGGAATATGATGATGTCGAACAAAAAAGGGCAGCTTCGAGGCTGTTGACTTAAAGAATATTGTGAATATTTACTTTAACTGTCCGCAATTTACTTGCGGCTAAATGAGCCATAGTCAGTCACTTTAAGGGTCGTTAAAGTACTCAAGGCAATGCAGTAAATCTTTAATACGATTATCTACAAAAGATTTAATTTAATAGATTCATTAAGTCCACAGATTTATTACTGAACATTAATTCCTTTATGCTAATCAAAGAAACATAAAGGCTATAAAACTTAATATAGAGGCATTGAACTTGAGTAGCTGCACTAGTTTTTTACGTCACATATCGACAATTTTCGAACTTATAAAATGTCGCTTAACTCAAGCTATAAATTTCGTACAATCTCACCTAATATTTATGCAAATTAGTCGCGCGATTAATAACGTAATAATTTGCGTAATTAGTAAATTTTTTGCTAACAAAGTTTCATTTTTTTTTTGTTGCGAAACTTTTCTTTTTTGCATCATCTTGTGTATTGAAGGTAATTTATTTTGAGACACACGAAAAGTCACGTAATTTTGACATTTTAATTTAAGTAACAGCGCGGTAGCGTAACGATGAGCTATGAAGAAAAAATTAATTTATTTAGCGAGAATTTTGAAGTTTATTTGAGAATTTCTCGCATTTATCTCTGTTGTAAATTTTATGGTGCTTAAGATGAAGAGATAGGATATCGATCTATCAGAGCTTCTTGTTATTTTGGGTCTGGAATTTTTTATTCGCTTGAAAGTTAATAGCAATGCTTAAGATGAAAACTAGTAAAATTGATGAAAAATCTGCTGACGTCAGGGAGATTGGATTCGATGATGTGGCATATTCTGAATACTTTTCTGTTTTTGGTTTGACTTGATGAGCAAAAAATAACTTTTCTTAAGAATTCTGTCTACTACTAGCTTTGGTCGACCAATAGACTCCTAGCTTCGATGTAGATTGATCAAATATAGCTTTCGCGGAACTTACCAGATCTTTACGATCCATATCACTAAGCCAACACCCAAACAGCACTAATTAATTGCCAATTTAGGACACAAGCTGTACTCAAAAAAGACCATAAAACAGACTTTTCTAAAATATATAAGTCCCAAATTTCTCCCAAAAATCAAGTCAATTTTATTTCCCTCAATATTTTATTAATGTTACCAAAAAGCTGATAATATATGCTTCCCACTTAAAAATATCAAAAATGCTCTTAAAACCACATAAATTTCCCACAACCTCTTAAAAAATTTCACTCAAATCCTCTCCATTCATTCTTTGAATTGTTTGTTGCTTTTAGGTTTCCAAATATTGACTGAATTCATTGCTTGCGTGCCTTTTATACACACAAGAAAATCTGTTAATATTCGCAAAGTAAACTTTCGACGGGAAATGACCAATTCAAAAGATATTATTCTTCACAATAATCTTGAATAAATATTGCAATTTATTGTAAGCACTTAAGTAAGTGTTCAGACACGATAATTGAGATGAACCGCAAGAAAATGGAATTAATAGTCGATGAAAATAGAGAAGATTGTGTAAGTTAGACAAATTAACAACAATTAACCCGTAAAAAGAGTGAACAGCTCAAATGTTTCAAAACAGTCTCATTACAGCAATTAAATTGCGGCCCTCAAATATTTTTTGGTCATAATTTTTAATTAATCTGCTTTTGTACTTCCACCAACCGCACTAACCCACATTAGGTCTTTTCATTTTGATATGAATTTATTTCGCTCTCGTGTAATGAAAGTAAAAATGTTTCGAGTATGAGAAGCAGACGGAGAAGAAGAAGGAACAACAGCCATGAATGTAAAAATAAAATCTTTCTCTCATAATATTGATAAATGTACACTGGAAGTTGTTTAAAATTACGTGGAACTTTAAGGAGATGCAAAACTTGTGTACTAGATTACTAATGGATTATATTTATTGAGTACTAGATTTTTGAAATAATAGTTTCCCAGATATACAGAGCACTAGATTACCAAAGGACTAGAGTCCTAGAGTCCTAAAGTAGTCTAGAGTCCTAAAGTACTAGAGTCCTTAAAGTACTAGAGTCGAGTCTTAAAGTACTAGAGTCGAGTCCTAAAGTACTAGAGTCGAGTACTAAAGTATTAGAGTTGAGTCCTAAAATACTAGAGTCAAGTCCTAAAGTACTAGAGTCGAGTTCTAAAGTACTAGAGTCGAGTTCTAAAGTACTAGAGTCAAGTCCTAAAGTACCAGAGTCGATTCCTAAAGTACTAGAGTCAAGTCCTAAAGTACTAGAGTCGGGTCCTAAAGTACTAGAGTCGAGTCCTATAGTACTAGAGTCGAGTCCTAAAGTACTAGAGTCAAGTCCTTAAGTACTAGAGTCGGGTCCTAAAGTACTAGAGTCGAGTCCTAAAGGACTAACGCCGAGTTCTAAAGTACTAGAGTCGAGTCCTAAAGTACTAAAGTCGAGTCCTATAGTACTAGAGTCGAGTTCTAAAGTACTAGAGTCGAGTCCTAAAGTACTAGAGTCAAGTCCTAAAGTACTAGAGTCAAGTCCTAAAGTACTAGAGTCGGGTCCTAAAGTACTAGAGTCGAGTCCTATAGTACTAGAGTCGAGTCCTAAAGTACTAGAGTCAAGTCCTTAAGTACTAGAGTCGGGTCCTAAAGTACTAGAGTCGAGTCCTAAAAGACTAACGCCGAGTTCTAAAGTACTAGAGTCGAGTCCTAAAGTACTAAAGTCGAGTCCTATAGTACTAGAGTCGAGTCCTAAAGTACCAGAGTCGAGTCCTAAAGTACTAGAGTCAAGTCCTAAAGTACTAGAGTCGGGTTCTAAAGTACTAGAGTCGAGTCCTAAAGGACTAGAGTCGAGTCCTAAAATACTAGAGTCAAGTCCTAAAGTACTAGAGTCGAGTTCTAAAGTACTAGAGTCGAGTTCTAAAGTACCAGAGTCGAGTCCTAAAGTACTAACGTCTAGTCCTATAGTACTAGAGTCGAGTCCTAAAGTACTAGAGTCAAGTCCTTAAGTACTAGAGTCGGGTCCTAAAGTACTAGAGTCGAGTCCTAAAGGACTAACGTCGAGTCCTAAAGTACTAGAGTCAAGTCCTAAAGTACTAGGGTCGAGTCCTAAAGTACTAGAGTTCTAAAGTACTAGATTATTTAAATATTGAAATACTAGATTATTAGAATACTAGAGATGATGAGTACTAGATTAAGTCTAAAACCTTCATTTTCGATAACCAATATTGATACACGAAACCACGGAATTTTTGTTTCATTAATTTTTTAAAGAAAAAATTGTTGGTACTTTGTTGGTAGATTCCCTTGATAAGCCGCAAGCCTTTCCACAAATTGACTCAAAACTCACATAAAAAATGTTACACGAGAAAAAAAAATTCATTAAAAATTTATTAATACGCACAGAATAATCCACATAGCGACAACGACGAACGGGAACGAGAGATGAACTCTTTTTATTTAAAATTATTGTGGAATTACTGGCGATGCGAGCAAATATTTGAAGTTTATGGCTTGGAGAAATGAGAAATAAAAAGAAGAACTAAAAAAACCGGATGTTTCAGATGATTATCGCACCGCAGGTTGTTCTACCGCATGCATAATTGTGAGAAGTGAATTTGTGTATGTACAGAGCTACATTTACTTTATGCTTGTAAGTTCATCTTTCTGTTGTTCTTATCCTTTTATGTTTTTTATTCTACCTTTTTCTTTTGTTTCTTTTTATCTTGATCTCCTTCAATCTTTCCATATTCCCATATGCTGTAGCACATATACATGCATTTTCTAAGAATGTTGAAGGCATCGCACTTGAAATGAAAGCATAATAAGAATGTCTTGTGTGGATTTATAATTTTGTTATTTTTAGATTGAGAATTTTTTGGTTTCGTGGGCTTTAGAAGTTCATTTTTGGTGTAAAATTGGAGGTAAAATTTAATTTTGCACGCGATTCTTGCTTGGATGTTCAATCTTAACAGTTCAATATCCGAATGGTCAGAATGTCAAGGGATGGACACTATGAAAATGTGAAACACAGTTGAAAGTATAGTCAGATAATTAAGTAACCGTGATGCACCCTGGATGCACCGGAACATATCATCTCCACATGCTTAATATATCCCAGGTTATTTTGTAAGACTGTCCATGCCTTGCACACATTTAATACGCGTAAAGTGAAGAAAATTACAAGAAAAAAACCCACAAAAAAAAAATTCTTCCAAACCAGAGCTGTAAGCAGCAACTGTTGTTACCGTTTTTGAAGTCAGTTGAAAGGTGGTGATTATAGAAGCGTTAAAACTGTAACTGAACATAGCATATGGCCGATTCTGAACGTTCTTTATGAAATTATCTCAGCAGAGAAATTAAACAACGATTATTGCACTGCATAATAATTAAATAATAATCATTGGTCTCAGTGGCACAATAAAAAGAAGCCTCAGTCATGCAAAATATTCAGTGCGACAAGAATTTCGACGATAGAATTTGTAATTAGAGTAGATTCGTATTCATTTCACTCTAAATGTCATAATTCATGAATAATTCCCAAAAAAATTAACGAATGAAATTCCGAAAAAGCATTCAATTCATTCAAGCGCGAATGGCATGTAATTCACTTCTCATTCAGCTTATTTTTCATTTCAACTCAATTTTGTATTTACTTCTCTATTTTTTAGCAAGATTTTGTGTTGAGGGCTTTTTTGGATTGTCTGTCATGTTGCGGTAAGAGGATTGGGTTAAAGAGACAGGTGAGAGCTTATGGTTATGATGTGGAACTGTTTTAGGGGAATTGCTTGCTAAATTAAGTATTTCATTATATTGGCTATTGACTCTGAGTTGAAGTGTTTTTGTGGTATTCTAGATTATGCTGGCAAGCTTCATTCTTAATTAAAATCAAACCATAAAAGTCTGTCATTTTTATGCTACAATACAATCATGAAACTACTCTTTTCCCAGGGTTTTATGACCTTAGTTTTATGTACTTTTACTAGCTTAATCTTAATAATTATAGCTGAAGTATGTTCATTTTATAATCATAGGTATGAAAACATCTCTTAGTTCCACACCTGCAAACGATGGAAATAAAATGTTTTATAATAAATTTCCAAGTCAAATTCTGAAGTCTTTTAGAGTTGTAATGAGAAATTACTATCTTTAATTGATGCTATAAATCTAGTAGATTATCTTGAGATTGTTCTTAAATGATGTCTTAAGAGATATTGATACTTTGAAGCAGTGTTGTCCAAACTGTGTGCCATGGCACATTGGTGTGCCGTAAAAATTCTTTGTAAATGATGTGAGCCGCATTCTGTGTGCGACTTTGGTAATGGCTTACCCCTAAGGTCTGCCGTGGCTCAAAAAAGATTGGACAACACTGCTTTAAAGAGATTTTTGAATCTTATAATCCTTTCAACTGTTCTTTGTTTGGAAGCTTAGTAACGCTTATTTTATTCATATAGTTTTACTTCTGGGGAAGGTTTCTAGGACAACTGGGGATATCCTCCTTTAATTGCTACACTTTGCTTCTACTCCAGTAGCTTTTACTTCCTTATTAGTCACTGTTTAGTCACTGTTTAGCCACTATTCAGTCACTGTCATCTTTTAATTACACTTCAGAGTGTAGAAAATCAGCTATCAAAGCTTCTTGGTTGCCTTGTTGCTTGCTACATACAAAAACATCAATTTATGCTTCACCCAACATTCAAACATACCCTCATCCAACAAACAAGTGAAACTAAACAGTACAGTCTATCCATATCAGAGAAAAATGATATTAATATACCAAAATAATCATTCTTGTGCCACATATCCTTATTACAAAACATAACTACAACTCGCAGCTGTTCATTAATAATTAATGCGTATCCATGGTGAATTAATTTCCAGGAAAAATGTGTCCGTTCAGAGGTTTATTAATGTTAGTGGAACAATAGAACACATGTTGGCATATAATCCTTGTTATTGTCTATCCTCAACAGGAAACGTATCAAAATAATGTTGCAGAAATTTGAGAGGATTAATGAAACATAAGGATATAAAGTGCTTATGATGATGAAACTCGTGTAGATGATGGATTATTTTGCTACCTAATGGATGTAGATTTTATGGATTATTTTGATAATACGGATAGTTTTTGTTGAATATCATGTATCATGTCGAGTTTAAAGGTCAGAAGACCATCTGCTGTATTTTGCAGCAACAGTTGCAATTAATTTTAAGGGGCTGCGTCTCACAGGCTTAATGAAAATTTTACATTTTTAGACAAATTAATGATCTTTTTAGTCAAAGAACATGCATGGCATGTCTTTAGTAATTTACTCAGTGCTAGTCAATCCCATAAGATCCCTCAATGTAGCTCCAGAACAATATCATACCTAATAATAGCATCGCAAATGCTTCATGCTCCCCATCATTACCAGCACATCAACTTGTCTTCCTTCACTTCCAATTGTATTCATTTGCAAAGTAAATTTCGCGTGCATGTCAATTTTAAAGTAACAAAAAAATTTTACAATTCTCGCCTATCAGCCTTAATGAGATTTCCAGAATCATGCGCGCAAATTTTTGCTTTCATTCAGACTTCTCTTTTGTGTCATCACATCACAATCATTCCATGTCGGTGACTGCTTTATGCTCGATATTTTTACATATATTTTTATTTTTATGTAATGATCTTGCAACTTTTGGTTAATTGAATTTTTCATTTTGTTAGCGGTTTAGTGACTCTTGCATGTATGTCTATGTGCACAGCTGTATTGTGGCACTATTTTTTGATTCTCTTTTCAAGTACGGACTTGGATGAAGCATAACATGTTTAATGCAGATATTAGTGTACATATACAGATGCGAATTGTAAAGGTTAAGAAAGCAAATATCGAATATCAGTTGTGGTCAATATACCGAGATGTACAGGGAGTTGATTGCTACGAAAGTTTTAAGGTTAAGGTATCATAGCAAAGTTAAAGACATGGATGAGTTAAGTAATATATAGAAATTTTGTAGGATTTTGTAACTTAAAGGGAAGGTCAGCGCAGTGTAGTGGTTAGCATCCAGTAATCGTTCTGTCCATACAAGCCAGGAGGTAAGTTCGATTCCCATTAAAATCAAAAAGTAAGTTCAAGTCACACTAAAGACCAATAATCTCCTCAACCCACTTAATATAACAATAAACTTTAAATAAATTTAAATTTCGAGTTCGAACAACTGACGTCAATTACCAAGTAATTCCTGTACATCCCGGGATATTCAAACAATCGAATAAAAAGAGAATTGCAGCATTAAAGATGTGAAAATATATTTTGTGAATTGAGATGGATTGAATAGCACACAATTTGTTCAAATGATGATGATTTCTACTTCCACTGAGCAATTTAAAGAAGAAGATGAAGAACAAGATACTCTGTGAGAAAAATTTCAAATTCCACGAATTCTTCGAGTCTTGTAAAAATTCTTGGAAGTGCTGAGAACGTGGAATAAGAAAATAAGCAGAATTTTGTTTTTAAAAATCTTTTGAACGCGTCCGGAATACTAATTTTAAGTACTTTTAAAATACTTCAACAAAGAATTTTATATTTCATACATAGAAGCTTCAACATCCTTTATCTGCTGCTGACATATTTTTTTTGGGGTGCTCAATTTTTGTGACATTTTAAGAAGCTGTAATTTAAAGACTGCTGTGAATTATTTGCAATGAAATTGGAAGCTAAATTAAGTGTCAAATTGACACGAGGAGAATGCTGAGCATGTGAATGAAAGTGACATTGAAATTATTGTCGATTGAGATCATTGAAGGAAGGCTGTAAAAGGAAACTGTAGACAATTAAGATTGTTGAATGTTGCTTTGGATTTTTGGATATAAATTAGAGTTTGTAAGCTTAAATAAATGATTCAAAATTAGGATTGCTTGGTTGCTAGTGCTTAGTAGCTTAGCAAGCAACTAAATGAGCAGCAACTGATCAATTTTCATTAAATTCACAAAACTGCTGATCCCCAAAATTTTGAAACTCAAAACTCAATAGCCGTTCCTGCTTAAACATTCTACAAACTCAGCACATGACTCAAAATAATTCCAACAATCCAGCAAAAAAAGCATTGCAATAAAAAACTAAAGCATTCCAGTTCTTTTAAAAAGATTTAATTGCATGTTGCTTATGGTAGGTCATGGCTAGTCTCCCAAAGCAATCATTTAGAATCATAACAAACTGAATAGATTAATAAAATTGCAGATAATAAAATCTTTAGCATGGCGCTAGTTCCAACACGAAGGTTCAGTCACTGATTAATTTTTATGACAAAATGACGCGGCACAAAAAAGAACTAGTCACGAGCAGAAGTCATGACATGAATGGAATTATTAGAAATAGACTTACAGTTGGACAAGAAATTGTCTGTCAAAGTAAACCTGAATATTGTACTTCAATGGTCTTTCTATAACAGAACTGACAACGGTTGTTGCGAATACAAAGTTTCTTGGAATGTACGGAGATTGTCTGAGGATCAAGCCTGTTTGTGAAGAATACAATTTAAGAAGCTTTAAGCATTATGTAATTGAAGCGGATTTGTTAAAGAAGTTGATTCTTTTTCTTTTGATACTTTCCAAAAAATCTTCTAAAAGATACTTAAAGAAGCAATCAAATTCAAGTAGTCAAGTGGCTCTTAAAGATGAAAATTTTAAAGATCGTGTGAATTCTGGTTGTTTTAAGATTAATTTTATAGCTTGACATCGAGTCGTGAATTGAAAATAAAAGTCATAAAATTGTTTATTATTGAATCTTTGGCTAAGTTTGCGTCACTCGGTTCTTGAACAGAAGAAACTCAATCCAAGACATTCATAAATAACAAATCTGCCATCACCATCAAATGCCACATCCAACAACAACATTCAATGCAATATTTCTAGACTTTATCGATATTTTCTCACACCTGAGACATAAAACTCATAAAAAAAATCCAAAAGCCAAGTGACTGACACTTTTACATGATTCGTCATTATGTCATTCAAACTTCCGCTGTCGAAAAGGGAAAAAAAATTAATAGATGACCACTTTTCCAGCAAATGACTAGTCATTTTCATGCACTCATCAGGTTATGGCTGTTATTTATTCAATAGCAATAATAAAATTACCACCAGTTTAGTTGATGATACCTTTTAATCCATCTTGCTGATGGCATTATTCATTTATTTTTTATATACTGCATAAATTGAGGAATCGATTATAGAAATTGATTAATGGGATGCTTAGTTGAATATGGTACGGGAAAAATTTATGAAAATCTCTTCAAATTTGATTCATATAAGTTTGAATTATTTTTATGACTTATGTTTCAAAAAGGTGTAAGGAACGTGAAAACTAGCTGGGAATTATTTGATATTGCCAAAATTCGGGATTTTTTTTTTAAAGTTTTGTAATTAAATTGTTGACAATTGAAGAAGATTAGGACAACCTAGTGTATAGTCCAATCTAGTGTTTACTACAACCTAGTTTAAAGTACAACTTAGCATAAAGTTCAACCTAGTTTCGTGTTTAAATCTGAAAATCTTACAAAAAAACTAACACACAAACCCAAATTCCAGCAAAAAACATTCAAAATCCCATCAAAATGCTCAAAATCAATGTGCCACAAAAATCTGCATCACCACACATTTTAACCCAATTCCCAAAAAGTAGTTCGCATGTGAATATCAAAAACAGATATTAATCGCAATAAAAACTTTACAGTTCCAAAGTTTAATGACCACAAAAAAACGTCCGAAATTCTGCACATCATCATCGAAGGTCGTCCAATACATTGTTGACGCAATTTGCATATTGATGTCTATTTATATCCATCAAAAAGGATTGAAACTTGTCAAAAACTTATCCAAGGGTATTCGTCAATCTTATAAATTACTTGAAGCCGCACTCAATCAGATAAATTCGCAAGTATTAGCATTTAAACCACATCATATTCAAATATTATTCGTCAGTCCATAAAAATTCATTTCCACATCTTTCTCAGCTGCAAAAATCTCTTTTCTTGTCTTGGTCATGAAATCGTTATTAATGCTCACATTTAGATATGCCATTTTTGAGTTAAAAAGCGCACAAAAACAAAAACAGTTAAAAAGCAATAAGCGAAAGCTTCGATTTCTTTTTAGGATCATAAATAAATAAAAAATTCATATTGGCATTTCAATAATGACCACAATGGATATTAGTAAAGCGCAGCAATGACAACTTTTAATAACTTTTACTCATTCAATGGTTATTGGGGGCTTTCAGTTATGACGTCTAGCATTTAATGAAGATTTGGATTTTTAAATAAATTTATTTTTGATTTAATTGACAATTTTTCAGATGGGAGAGGGTCAGAGGGTCCTCGAGGGCTGATTTCTAGAGCTACTAAAGGCCAGAGTTGCAAAACAGGCACCTGTGACAGGTGAGAACCCTACAATTTCTTAATAATTTATAAGGTTTTTCTAACAAAACCATACAAATTATCAAGGAATTGAACGGTTCTCACCTGTCACAGGTGGCTTGTTTCGCAACTCTGCTAAAGGCATTGACTTAGGTTAGCTCTAGAAATAGACTGAAATCAATTGATATTTTTTGTGACAAAGGAGAGGATCAGGGGGTCCTCAGAGGCTGATTTCTAGAGCTACTAAAGGCATCGTCTTTACTTGACCTTGGATAGCTCTAGAAACAAGCCCCTGGTGCCTGATCAATCCTCAACTTTTGTTCCAAATGTCATTAAAGTTTTGTACAACTTTTTTTAAAAATTCAGACTACCTTAGTCTATTGGGGGTGAGGATAGTGTCTAAAAAAATCAAATTCTACGACAGACGTCATTTATGAACAACCCTCCAATAAACCATTTCATAATAATCTTTTTATTATTGTTATTATTTCGGCATGCAATCGATGATTATGTTTGTGAAAATTAGTATGAGAGCGACTATAACAATAGATATTTGAAAATATGTCATTACCTCATTATTTGTTTCCTTAGTGCTATTCAATAAAAAAAATGTAGATTGCTCAAAACTATTTCGGGTGTGAAGATTCTTATCGGCAATATGTTGTCTGAATTTCAATCACTATTAATAATTCAATAGCGTTAATTATCCGAAAAAAAAATTGTATTATTTTTCTATCTCACTTGACAATAACAATCCACCGACTGTGAAGACGAGAGGAGAAAAAAAAATTAAATTCCAATGTTGCGCACACAATTACTATAATAACTTTTTATTTATATTTTTTTCGCGGATGGAACCGTTATCATAGCGACAGAGCACTATATGTGTATAGTATAACTTGCAACACAAAGGAACTTTTAATGCCAACTAAGTGTAATTCTCGTTTTTACTGAACTTAACTTTTTTTTTTCTTTTGCACTGCAAAAAAAAATTATTCTGGACGAATAAAAATTCTGTTGCGACAATAAGGCACCAAATAATAGCACAATTTATATCAATTCACTTTAATCTCCTTATATGCTCACTATCAAGTGATTTTATCAAACTAATGATTGATAATTTCTCACAAAAACAATATGTATTTTTTTTATTTTATTCTTTTATTTCCTCTTTAGAGAACCGAGACGGCACAGGTTTCACGACTGAACTCAACGAGCAACAAATGAAAAATGCCGACTTGTATTAGTATGTTGTGTCTTTCTACTGAAACACCGGGGTAAACATAGAGATTTTGACGGTGTTTTGGAATATGGGATGCTCTAAAGATAGGCGCCATCTAGAGGTGAGCATGTTATTGTCTATAATTTGAAAACTAGGGTCGTTATGGAATTCTTAATAATTATTTTTTTTTTGTGTGTCATTTTAAGTTCGTGTTTGATGAAGTTCTATAAATAACAATCCGTGGTTCTAAACAGAAGCGAAGAAAGTATTTCCAAGGAAGCGATTTCACCGTGGTTTTGTGCTGGATTTTTTGTAATTTTTATGGTACCTATGCTTGGTTTGCTGAAGTGGCTCGTTAGCGACACATTCATTTATGGCTCACACACTCTTTCTGTGTAGGCTCCAGATAGAACTGCCGTCAAAGAAGTGGTTAAGATTTGACTTTACATGAAACTGTAATTCTTTGATTGATGTTGAGGATGGGGGGAGGGGTTTAGTTTCTAGCAGTGTTGATACCAAGCACATGGCTTCAAAAAGGTTGATCTAAGCGTAAGCAATTTAAAATCGAAGGCACAAATCCTTGGCCATATATTTATACCTTCATATGCTGAGCAAAGCTCAGCTGACTCGTCAAGCTTTATACCTTGCAACATATGCTGAACGAAGCTTGGTCTATCAACAAGACTATATGGTATGGTGTGAATATGGCCGCATTAGGTTTCTACCCGATACACTAGTGTTGCTAACGAGCAACTCTGCCTGCTTAAATGTGGTCAAAGGCAACTTTGTATCAACACTGTTTTGCAGAAGGCTGTAGCTCTTCAAGAAAGACTTTCATTTTAATTCATTTTAATTGCACTTTATTGCATTTATTGACGACATACTGTCCGGAAATAATTCACATTTTACACTTTTGTATTTGTATACATATGAATTAGTATTATGTAGGATCAAACTTCTAATCTTCATATCTAGGTTTCAAATAAACTAAGGCTCTCGTTTCGATCTTCTGTAGGCGTTACGTGATACTTTTCAGGTCCGTTCTATCAATATTCCATTCGTGGGTAATCTTGTAGCTCTCGTTCCTATTTCTCCCGCTACACTTCAAGTTCCTGACCCGTTCCTTAATCCAACGTTGCCCAAATGCCCAATTATGGCTTGATCTCGTACTTGACGAAATTAATAAATATTATTACGAAATTATGCAAAAGATTTTAAATCATTTTTTGACAGCATACAAGCTAATGTCATTCAAACTTAAATTTGACCCTAGGATGACTCCCTGGGTAGCCCTAGATACCGCCACCTGTATTATAATAATATAATAAAAATTCTTTTAATTTCTAAACTGATCCAAAACATCATTCAAGATAAAAAGCAGTAAACCTCACTTTGTACTTATCAGTCTAATATTTACTAAGCAATTATTCTCTCATACTTATGTTGACCACCTAATTTAAATAAGAAGAAGAAGAAGAAAGAAAGAAGGAAGTACCATTAATAATTTGAAAAAAAAATGTGCAAACAAAAAAAATAAAATCTAGCACATAAGAAGAATGCGACGATGTATTGAACACTGTTTGTTGCTCATTGGCAACTATTGACATTATCTTTGACAGATGAACTTGTGATACTAATGTATTGCTGAATATTTACCATAGTAATTAATGAGTATAAAATATATGAGCATAGGTGAGGCGTGTGTTAGTGCCAGTGATCCAAAAGTGATAAATATGCTCGAAAAAAAATAATTTCGATGAGAATTAGAAAATTGTTGGATATTCAGAAAGTGAAGTGTCTACAGTAAGTAAAAGTATCACTTTCTATTTTATGTTTAGGACTTAGCGTCTGTTGCCTTTGTTCTTTTTTTAAGGTGTCGATTTTTTATCTTGGAAGTCGTTTGTCTGTGATATCCAAAATGAAGACTTTTCTATTTTTGGATCAGAACAGTGCATTCATTATGCAGTTGAACCACACACAGAGGTTAAGTGGAGATTATCTATCAATGACTACAAATTGAGTTTGCCCGTTGTCTAAATGCTCTTAGAAATATAAAAATAAATTAGATAATTAAATTAGAACCAAAAGTCTGCATTTTAAATTTGCAAAAGCACTGACTTAGTGATTCCGGATATCTTACTTCCACACATTGATAAAGCAGATGCTAAAAAGTTTTATTAACAAAATATTTTCAATCGTTGTGATAATTATTTGGATTGCGTAAACTTTGAAGGCCTCCAAAAAACATTTGGATTTGATTTCTTTAAAATGCACTTTAAATCGATGAGATTTACGACTCTAGATTGTAAAGTCTTCAATTATCCTTAAAGTTAATAGCAACAACTTCTTTTCTTCCCACAAAATTAGTGAATTTAACCTTGCATTAATGCACAGCTTACCAAATAATATGAATGTTAATAACACATTCTAAAGCTAATGTTTTGTTATTTTTGGATACTGACATTAGCAGGTAAGCTCAATATCTTGCTGTAAGTTGGTTTTTTGTGCTTAGCAATATCTTGAGCACAGTACGAATCCTTATTATTTCGACAAACGCTCTATAAATTGGGATATTTAAGGGATATCTAAATTGGGATTTGAACCAACGTATTGTAATTTAATGAGTTTTTGATATCTGGTTTGTTGCTTAACCACTCAGCTACATAGATCAAACTCTTTCACTGGGAGATTCGCCTACTTATGACTCGAAATCTATCTATTCTGGCAAGCTTCTTAGCATCGCCCTATAGCTCATTGCTAAGAGTATGCGACCGGAAATTGTAAGGACGTGGGTTCGATTCCCGAGCATTAATATCAAGATCATGAAGAATTAGCTTTTCCTATCCTTTCACTTTAATCTTGGCGTAGTTTTGTGAAGCTACTAGATTTTTAACCCAAAGAAATTAAATGCTTTCACTATAAACCCAACAAAATGTGTTTTTAATGCACAACAGTCTCAATTAAAACGCACAAGATTAAATACAAAACTTATTTTAATTCCTTCAAATTTGAGAAGTCAATTAACACCAGGCAGACCCAAGAATACGAGATTGCTTTCCATCTAAACTAACCTAAAGTATTAAATTCCTATTAGTACATTCTCTTATTCCAATTCCATGACGTTGCGAATTAATAAAAAAATAACTTTCAGTTTCAAGGTAAGCGGCATTAAGTTTGTAATCTAACACTTTTGATAGATCTCAACATCAACAAAAACCTCGTCAAATTGACGGATGAAAGAAGAAGTAACTGAAACTTTATAATGTTCACATTATGAAATAGCAAGTAGATAATTGTCCCATTTATAATAGCTTTACTTAATGAACATAGTAACTCTAGTGATTAGGATCCACAAAGAAATTTCGTACCAAAAAACAAGAATTCTTGGAATAGAAAAATTAATTAAATTATCGCTTTATGGACAATTTTGTGTAAGCAACATCTTCACTGCTGATGCTGGCCTTGTAAATTTTATAACTAATTTGAAGAGCAAGAAAAAATATAAAAATTGAGAGAAGTAATGTTACTTGCCCAACTCTTGCACTTGTTTCTTTTGCGAACGTGCGCGCAATTTTATTTCCTCTCTTTTTTAAAGACACTTTTTCTACATTTTTTTCAACAGCACCAAACAGTTTATTTTGAGTCGTTGATCGTGCCGGCTGATCATATTCATTACATCGCATCGTTCCGCGAGTTTAAGTCTCTTTTTTTTCTCAACTTGATATGAAAATATAAAGTTTTTTGTGTTGTACGGGAAGCATCACGAGAATCACGAAAGAAGATTACACAAAAAAAAAAATAAAATTGAAAAAAAGTTAATAATTGAATAAATTAAAAAGACTGTTTGAATTATGGGAGTGGTGTTTGTTTTTCTCGTTTTCCTCGCCATTTTTACCGGACTTATGTGTCTGGCGAGGAACTATCGAAAAATTATGCTGAATATTCCAGCTCCGGAAGCATTGCCAATTATTGGACATGCACATCTTATGATTGGATTAAATAATGAAGGTAAATGGGCTTTTGATGGATTTAATTGGTGCTGTAATTTTGTTACTTGAGGTGTCTAATGTGTACCTTGATGGAATTTTTTTTTTCGTGCCTTAAGTGGAATTTTTATTGCGTGAATTTGTTTAAGTTTGATGTCAAAGAAGCATGAAATGGAAAATCAACGAAATAAATCAACTTAAAAATTATTAGCAGTATATAACTGGGCTAGAAGAGAGATAGAGGCGGCTAGGGTCAAAATATCAATCTCTAATGACAGTTTTATTCATTTATTAGAATTTATTTGAGATTTTTCTGACATCACTAGCAACTGGCAGTAGTGAATTCTAAACTATGTTTTTTGATAAACTGTTGTCTCCAGATGTGTCGTGAGATCAAGTTCGTAAATCTCAAGTTTTAAGCATTTTTAACTCAAACTAGAAACTCAGGATTAGTCCTGAAAAATCCCAAAAATCCCAATAAATCCCTGAGCAAATAATCATGGAAATGTGAAATCCCTTTTTAAATCCCGAATTTATTCATCAAATGCATCAGGGATTTAACAGGGATTTCACATTTCCATGTTTATTGGCGCAGGGATTAATTTGGATTTTTTTAAAATTTCTGAGATGATCAAATTTTCATATTTACGAAATGTTTTGTTTGTGTCAGTTAAAATCATATTTTTCAAATTAAGAATGACCGTTAATATCTGTATGTTTAATTTTTAAGTTTCTTAAAGGTACCTGTTACATTGAAACTTCTTTTATATTTTATTTTATTGTATGTTAATGCAGAGGTTTTTATGTCGCTTTAAATAGTTTAAGTACTGTTTAATGAGGCTTTTCCTCTGTGTGAAAGGAAAGAAAAACGAGAGCAATAAATAATAATAATAATAATAATAATCCTGAGTTTCCACGCCTTGGAAAAAAACCATTTGATTAAATATGTGTTGCCAACAAGGGAGTGAAACTGATAAATAAAATTTTGATCAATTTTGGTCAAATTTGAACATTTTGATCATTACTGATCAGTTCCGCAACCTTGGTAGCCAAGCAGAAAAGTTTGGAAGTCACTGAACTGTCATAAGGGATCGTTTGTGAATAACGTCCATAAATTTTGGAGAAGGGGAGCTGGCTTTCTGTGGCTGTTTTAAAAGAAGAAGGCAAAATTCGAACTTGTGCGTCAAGAAGGGTCAAAAAAATCTCTTTTTGATGGACGTCATTTATGATTAGACCCCAGCTCGAATGCTTAATTCGACATTTTATGTCTCTAAAAAAAGTTTTTGACCCAAAACTTGCGCAAAACCTTTCTATAATCCTTCCTCGTATGTCCCAGGTCACTTTTTACTCATTCTAGCTTCTAAATATAAACTTAAATATCTAATTCCAACAGAGTTGCGATACAGGTTGCCTGTCACAAGCACAAGTGTCACATCTGTCAAAGATAATGCCTGTCACAAACACTGCTTGTTAACAAGTAAGTGACAGGTAAGTGCCTGTGACAGAACGCAACTCTGAATTCCAACGAAGCATTAGTCTCAAATTTGAAAGTCTAGACAAGCTTTCCATTAAAGCCAATCCAAGTTAATCCTAAATTACGTCCACGAATAAGTTCAAAAACCTTAATCAAGTCTTAATAAATAATAATTAAATGAAGTAATCGCAAAATAAAATCAATAATTATTTCAATCTTAAGTACATTTGCCAATTATCGAAAACTTCATTGAAAATTTGTCATAATTTTAATTTAATCCGGTGCCTCGCAGTGCGTGAAAAATGTGATGAATCAATAAACTGTGTACTTAATAGAATTATGTAAACTAAGTGACATTGAACTTCCAGATTGTTAACCAATTAATTGAATGGATGCAGATTTGAGCATCTCATTTGATTTTATAATATTTACAGTGGTTTTAGCGTTGGAACTGCATAAAGTGTGATTTGTTGAAAATGTGGCTTTAGTGTATATGAAATGGATATGAAGGCTTAGTGCTTAAAAGTTATTGCAATTTAATTACTTTTACAAAGCTTGAGATTGAGGCACAGAAGTTCATTTAATCCAGTGCTGTCCAAACTTTTTTTTAGTCTCGGCACACCTTAGGGGTAAGCCTTTACCAAAGTCGCACACTGCATGCGGCTCGCAAAAAAAAATCTATGGCACACCAGTGTGCCGTGGTACACAGTTTGGACAACACTGATTTAAACGAAAGGGATGTGGAAGAAGCCATAAATTACAAAAAAGATGATTAATAAAAAAGAGATAAGAACCTCCAAGTACATCGAAGTAGTTTTAATAAAACCAGTCCATTTATCGTCTCAATTAATGGATCATAAAGTGGTCAATGCAAAAGAAGTCAAGTATGCGATATTAACTACCGGAAAGTTTGTCTCAATATTGTTGAATATTTATGGGATATTGAGAAATTTCGGAAATTCAATCACTTTCAAGCCTCAATTATGTTGATATGACTTGCAATATTGACAGCAATGAATAATGAAACTAAAGCTGAATTAAAAGCAACTTAGTGAATAGGAATTCCGCACTTAAAAATTTTTACTTTCAATCAAATCTCTTTCAAAATGGAATGGAAGTCAATAACCGAGGCGCAGTCTACCAAATATGATCATTACTTTCTGTTGAAATTATAAGCTACGAATAAGATCACGTGCTGTTGTTAAGTATTACAAAATTGTCGATTAAATATCTAATTTACAAATAATTTTATGGGGTCGTACATAAGTGATGTGTATTGGAAGCTAAAGGTTATGAAGCAGTAATGTCCAACCCATGTGTTACAAAAACGAGCCGTATGCCGTGTGCGGTTTCGGTCATGGCTTACGATCAAGATATGCCATGGCACAAAAAAGGTTGGCCATCACTGTTTTTGAATAATTTTTGAGCATTGAAAATTTCATAAAGTACCTCAAAAAGTCTTGAGATTGTAGTCTAAGAACCCATACGCCCTATATTTCAGATGACTCCCTTCACACCTCCCAATAAATCACAGCTTCTGACAACAAATCTCCAAAAAATTACATTTTATCTCCACAATAATATCAAAGTCGGTCCCAATTGAACTTGATCAGAGAAACTACTCCAAAATATGATCCATAAAAATTTCTTATTTTTTTTTTTGAGTACCAAACATAATAAAATGAAATCTGAGTGAGGCAAAAAAAGAAACAAAGAAGAAATTTTATGAAAAATTTCGATTTCAACAAAAGAGGAAGAAAGCAAATCAAAAAGAAATGAAACAAATTTTTTTTTTGGCAAGAAAGAAATGAAATTCTCGCAGGGTTGGCAAGCTGTGAAATTTTTATGATTTGATTTTTTAAAAGCCGGCATGGCATTGCAATTTTTATGGCACTTTGTGAGGAACTTATTGAGATATGATTTTTTTTATGAATGGAAGCAATGTGGTTTATGAGTTTTTATAGATTAATTGCTTTGCTAAATTTCTCAGATAAATCAGATTAATGGCAATGCTGGAGTAAACCCAAACCTTTATTAAAGCTTATGAATTAATCAATGGGATGACAACAAACTGTAGAGAAAAATTGATGCTGAATAAAAATTTTGTCCATTGAATGTGTCGCATGCAAGTGGTTCGGATCCCAAAGGTATGGTACAATAGATTCTTTACAAATTAAATCGCAGTGCCTCCAGCTGAAAGGCTGGGCCCTTCACACATTATTATTATGTGTCAAATAAGTCACATGCGTGGTGGGAATCTTAGGGCCGTTTTCACTCAAGTTGATAATCCTAATCCGATTTTTGGGATAATCCTAGGATTCTAGGATCCGGATTCAATCTGGATTTTGATAATCCAGGATTATCGTTTGCAATTCTCGTTGATTTCTGGGCATAAATATGTAATTGCGCAATAAAGAAGCTATTGCTTTAGAAGTTTCATTAACGATCCTAGACATAGATGCAACACTTATTCCTGATAAATCCCCAATTGTTTGCAAAAAAGTTCCTGTAGCATAAAACCGTAAAGTACTGTTCAGTTTTACTTTTGCCTCAATTGCATGGAAACTGAAAATATATATTTTCATTTGTGCTAAAAGTTGGCTTTAATACTATACATTTCGTACCTTTGAGTTGTAGGTGCTATTAAAGGCTCTATTGCGTTTAATAATTCCATAAAAGAAATTTTACTGAAACGAAATCTTGAAATAAATTCAAGATCGTCTAAAGTTTCCATGAAATCTACACGTTCACGAAATTTTCTTTCTTTTTGAGCTCTAATATCATTAATCATGTCAATGTCACTATCTATATCACTTCCTATATTCATATTAAATTAATTAACAAGAAAAAACGAGGTTAAAAAAAATCAACTAAAATAGTTTATTTTTTTTTCAATAATCTTAGGATTATCCTGAAAATTCCGAGATTATCCGATTTCAATCTTGGGGAGACCAGGATTGACATTTTCAATAATCCGATCCGAAGAAAAATCCAGGATTATCCTCAATCTTTTTTAGTGAAAACCATCATCCAAAAATTATCTCAGGATAATCCCAAAAATTGGGGTGGATGATCCAAAAACGAGATTATCCACTTTAGTGAAAATGGCCCTTAAGATTTATAATAAAAATATTTCCAACATTGGTTGTGCAATATTCAAGCTATTTTAGAGCATAAAGCATATACTTCCTTATTTGACACAAAGCTTCACAAACTGAGGTCAATGATGTTATTTGTCAATAATTTATTAGCTATCATGTCTCAGATTACTTTTGAGTCTGCACCCAAAATATTCAGACTTTATAGCAATGTTGTGTAAACTGTGCGATACGCAAACTAAAGTGACGCAGAAAAATCAGAAAATTCCAAAAATCACATGTTGTATTTGCATAGGGTGCGGAACTGATCAAAAATGATCAAAAAATGATCAAAAGTGGTCAAAATCTAATTCATCAGTTCCGCACCTATGGTTTTATACTGTTTTCGTCTTAAACTACCTTTGAATGCTGCCATGGCACCAAAAAAGGTTGGATAAGACAGCATTATGGTCATGAGAATCTAATATGTGCATTTACTATATTTGATCATATGCTTCTATGATTAGGCAAAGGTGCGAAACTGATTAATTATATTTTGATCATTTCATCAATTTACCTTTGTGATTAAGTTACTTTACAAGTCGATTAATGAATCAAAAATTTATGGATTTAAATCGAATCCAGCATCATGTTAGAGTGGCTTGGTATCGGATTTTTAAATTTATCGGGTAAATTAGATGCTATCGTTGATAAACTTTGAATTTTTAAACTCTATTAATAAAGTTATATGAAATATGGAAGCACTTACTTGTGTCAAGTTACATTTCTCTGAATGGTTTTACGGTAGAAGTTTTTAAACTATTATTTGCTTTATTCCTTTTAAAAATCCCAGATGCATCTTTGGTAGCACTCAGTCGCATAGGTCGAAGTTAAGAAACCTTTGGTTTTTAAATGTTTAGTTCTTTTCTATTGATTCTTAGGATGCTGGGTTATAAGTCCAGAGATTATAAGTCCAGATACAAAAATCGTGCACAGAAAATTATAAGTCCAGAAAATAAAAGTGACTAAAGGTTTATCACGTGCAGTTTATAAGTCCAGTTCCAAATACAGCTGGAATTATAAATTGCACGAGAGGTTTTTAAGTCCAGGTACATTTTATATCTGGACTTATAAACCTTTAGTCACTTTGATTTTCTGGACTTATAATCTCTGGACTTATAGTTTCTGGACTTATAACCCAGCATCATTCTTAGTGATTCCTGAATTTATGCATGATTCGAACAACTTCTTATGGTTCTTAAGATTTTGAAGATTATTTACACATTATCCAGTCTTTTCAAATGAAACTTTCTTCTTTATAAACCACTGACTTGCTAATTTAAATCTAAAGGGTTCTTAAAACATTGAACTGAATGCAATTGTCACAAATTTTAATTCCACTTTTCACAATTTTTAAAAACTTCACTCAAAAGGTATCTGCGATTTAAATTCAACAATTAAAAGTGTTTTTCATCAATGTTAACTGAGACACGTAATTTCTCATTTTAATAGCATCAGCATGTTCCTGTCAACTTGATTAGTTTTGCAGTATGACAAAACAACTTAATGCTCTACAAAATTTCACAAATATCTCATAATCCACCATGTAATGAACCGTATCTCCTGTCACATAAACTTTACTTCCATCAAGTCAAAATTGTCCATTTTTGATGATTTTTTTCTCAACTCTGAAATTTTTATGCTACACTTGATTGATCTTTAAAGACATAAAAGTATGTAGGCAGTTTGCAAGATATTTTATACATTATTTTACTTCTTAACTGCTTCATTATTTTTAAGAAAGTTTTTCATTCCAAACAAAAATAAAAAAAGGTTCAGTACAGTCAGCAAGTGTCAACTGGAAGTTTTCACTTTATGTACATAACATAAATATTGTGATCCTTGCGTAATTGCCTTTAAGCATCGCACGTGAAATTCTGGTGAACTTTTTCTTCGTTGCTGTTGAGGTAAAGTTTTTATGTAATAAAGCAGCAACGCACCAATAGTGTTGACGTGCTTACTCTCTCAAACGACCTTTAATGCTTGTTGTGATGAGAAATCGCATTTAATTAACTTTGTAATTTTTAATTTATTTATTTGCAGAACAACTCAAGTTAATCACTGAGCTGTGCTTCTTGTATCCGAATTTAGTAAAGATCTGGTTCTTCCACATTATGGGAATTATTGTCAATAATCCTGAATTGATCCAGAAAGTATTTAATGCTGAAGTTTGCATGGAGAAGCCTTACATTGCTTACAGATTATTCAACTTAGATAATGGATTGTTGTCAGCAAGATATTCACGATGGAAGCATGATCGTCGATTCTTTAACAATTCCTTTAAACTTTCAACTCTCCAAACCTTCATTCCAATTTTCATCGAAACTGCTGATAAGCTAACAAGTGAAATTACAGGCTATGTTGATGGAAATCCATTTAATATTCTCGATCATACAATTCGATGCACGCTCAAGATGATCTGCTCGACCTCACTTGGAATGAAGATTTCTGATGCTGAAAATGATGAGACATTCAACAAAGTCTTTCATGCTGTCGAATAGTAAGTTTCTTTCATGATTAATTTGTGTTTTGACATTTTTCAATTGATCAATTTATAAAATTAGACATCGAGTCTGCAAATTCAGAATGCATTGCGAATTGAGCATGAATTAATTCAATTTATAGACGGCAGAAAGAGAAATGAGTATTCATGAGTTTCTGAAGAGTTGGGAATCGAACATCTTATAGCTTTTACGTTTTCTTGGATCATAGTGGTTTAAACAAGCATGCCTGGACTAAAATTCAGCAAAATTTATTAGTATTCTAGTGCTTAATTTACTTGAAAACGTTCCTAACCAGGCAATGCAATTAGTAAGTTTTGGAATATAAGTTTGCAGTCGGAATAAGACTCTGTAGATACCAAAAAACAGACTAGAAATTCTTAATTCCACTTCATGTAATTTGGAAATGATTACAAGCCACAACTCTGCAATCTCAACCTTAATAAAGCTAGAAAAAGCTCATAACCAAAAAGTTCATATCGCAGTGGCATCAAATTGGCACTCTATGACTCTTAAAGTCAGAATAACTGTGTGGCTTATAATTTACAAATAACACTTTGACACTCGCTGTTTTACAACTTATTGCTGCTTATTATTTTATGTCTTATTTCGCAAGAAGATGTTCATCGAAAGTTTCACTTGAAGTATTTCTGATTAGAAAGTTTAAAGTCGTTATTATTTTATTGATCTAACGGTTTGAGTTTGGCCCTTGATGAGTAATTTTATAGTGTGTCACATGCTGAATGTTGTCTAAAAGTTAGATGCCTTCTTAAATTCATTAATCTAATTCTCAGCTTAGTTACATCATAGAAGCATACATGCGTAGGAACAAAATTTCACTTTCAATCTTTAACATCTTTCTGTTAACTTTTTTTTAGTAAATTAGCACCTCTCCGTTACGAATACTCGCGATGAGTTTGCTTATTTTGACTAAAATTAAAATTTTCAAATCAAAATGTTGACAATATGTAGTTCAAACTTAACCGATAAAGCAATACCTAGATTAATATCAGAATATTAATTGACAACTAGTATCTAGTATGCTAGTATCTAGTATCCTATTTTCCTAGCATCTAGTATCCTAGTATCTAGTATCTAGTATCCTAGTATCTAGTATCCTAGTATCTAGTATCCTAGTATCTAGTATCCTAGTATCTAGTATCCTAGTATCTAGTATCCTAGTATCTAGTATCCTAGTATCTAGTATCCTAGTATCTAGTATCCTAGTATCTAGTATCCTAGTATCTAGTATCCTAGTATCCAGTATCCTAGTATCTAGTATCCTAGTATCTAGTATCTAGTATCCTAGTATCGAGTATCCTAGTATCGAGTATCTAGTATCCTAGTATCTAGTATCTAGTATTTAGTATCCTAGTATCTAGTATCCTAGTATCTAGTATCCTAGTATCTAGTATCCTAGTATCCAGTATCCTAGTATCTAGTATCCTAGTATCTAGTATCTAGTATCCTAGTATCGAGTATCCTAGTATCGAGTATCTAGTATCCTAGTATCTAGTATCTAGTATTTAGTATCCTAGTATCTAGTATCCTAGTATCTAGTATCCTAGTATCTAGTATCTAGTATCTAGTATCCTAGTATCTAGTATCCTAGTATCTAGTATCCTAGTATCTAGTATCCTAGTATCTAGTATCCTAGTATCTAGTATCCTAGTATCCAGTATCCTAGTATCTAGTATCCTAGTATCTAGTATCTAGTATCCTAGTATCGAGTATCCTAGTATCGAGTATCTAGTATCCTAGTATCTAGTATCTAGTATTTAGTATCCTAGTATCTAGTATCCTAGTATCTAGTATCCTAGTATCTAGTATCTAGTATCTAGTATCCTAGTATCTAGTATCCTAGTATCTAGTATCCTAGTATCTAGTATCCTAGTATCTAGTATCTAGTATCTAGTATCCTAGTATCTAGTATCCTAGTATCTAGTATCCTAGTATCTAGTATCCTAGTATCTAGTATCCTAGTATCTATTATCTAGTATCAAGTTTGATCCAGTATCATTGCTAAAATCCAGCAATTTATTTCATTTCAAGTCAAACCTCTCGCTCAAAAATCAACTTGAAGAAATAATATTTTAAAAAAACAAACTTCAGTGAAATTCGCACTAAGCTTGATCATACTTCCGAGAGTGCTCAAAGCTATTTGACAAACATAAAGTGCCTCATTACGAATAATTAAGCACGTTTAAAAAGCTACAAATATTCACAAATTTAAATCATTAAAAAGTGTTTCATATGTCAATTATTACCGCTCATGGTGCTGCTCTTGAGTCTTGAGTCCCAAAAACAGAGCTGAAACAATGACAAATTTAAAAAATGAGAAATTTCGCATAATTGCATCATTTAAACATTAAAAGAATGATAGCACAGTAAATTAACCTACATTTATGCAAGACACGAAAAACATGAAATTGTTCGGCATCATTTTGGACAGGCAGGCAAGCTATGTTAACATCATTCATCTTTTGTTGTTGGTTTCTTTTTAATTCAATTTCACATCTGGAAATGAGAAGAATTTTTAAAACTGGTTCCGTTGACTTTTTCCCCATTAATTGAATTCATTTTCATTTCTTTACAGCACATCGGAGTCTGCTGCATTATTACAAAATAAACCGTTGATTTATCCTGACACAATTTACAAGATTACACCTCGTTACTTTGAAAATGAGAAGCAAGGTCAGTTTTTGGCTGACTTCCATCAAAGAATTATTGACGAGAGACGAGCTATATTGAGGAACAATAATAACAAGACAGATGGAGTTTCTGGTGATAGCAGCGATCCTGGTTACAGTATTTTCATCGACCACATCTTGAATAATGAAGGAATGTTCACTGACCAAGAAATTCGCGATCATATCATCACTGTTCTTTCAGCTGGTAAGAGTTTTTGCTTATTAATGAGTGGGGGTCGTTCATAAATGATGTATTTCAGCTTATAATGTTAACTTGGTGTTAATACGAGCTTCCATAAATGCTCTAAGTAAGAGAGACTTCATAAAAGTCAAGGTTTTCTTTGGACCACACTATGGTGATGCATCTAATGAAGTAATGAACCAATGATGTATCAAATATGAAAGAATGGCTGTGAAATTTGTCAAAAGCTGGTTTCTAGGACTTCATTAGACAGCTTCCTGTAATCTAAGCTGAATTTCATGTAAAACCTTAGTTTAGGTTACCGACATTTGCCCACTGACACTTACCAACTCTACATATGCCCACTGACACTTGCCAACTGACATTTTCCCAATTGTACTTTTGCCTACTGGTCCTTTTAACTCACTGGAACATTAATCTACTGGTCCTTTTCCCCATTGATGTATTTGCCCACTGATATTTGACATTATCTTCCCTTTAAGGCTTGACATCATAAGTGAACGACCCTCTAAAATATTCTACAATTGAGATTCATTGAACGATCATGGTCAATGTCAAGATTTTACTTACGCTTTACTGCTCTTGATGAATTTTAAATGATTTTATTTCGACTGATGACATCAGCAAGTCAAAGCATGAAATTTTGGGTGCCTCATAATTTTTTGTGCATTAATGATTTAAATTTTTAACATGTTCAATAAGTTGATGATTTGTGAGTAGCTTCCTCTTAAAATACAGTATAGAATATTTTTTTGGGGAATTTGATGTAAAACGGATGAACCTCTTCAACCAAACATCGTGATTTGCTAGTCATAAGACCGCGGGAAATTTCCTTTCAGAATCATGTGTAAGGTTGTGGCAATTTAAGAACATAAGAAGATTCTAATGGTCAGATGACTAAAATGAATCGTGGCCTTTTAAGTGCTTTGTGTATGTTTGATTCTTTTAAATGTTTTAAGAAGGCTATTAGAGAGATCAGACAATTAAATTTCTGGTATTCTCTCTTCGTTGATGTGTTAGAACTTGTTCCTTATTTGTAAATTTAAAATGGCAAAAGTTTTGCGTACGTGATTATTCTCAGCAATCTTTAATTGTTGCTATATACATGAAGTATTTGGGGATTTCAATCATGTGATTCTATTTCAATAAAATCTAGCTTTATGCCAAATTGTATTCATCCAACATTTAATGATTAATCAAAGACTATAGTCATGGCAAGAAACACAGTATCACGTGAAGATTAATCATGGTTTTATTTCAAATAAATTATGGTTTCCTGACCGAAATATCTAAAACAGTGAGCGGCAGTTAATGAGTTTACAGCATCAGAAAATAGTTTTTTTCAATGAAAATTTTATTTTCAAAGCTGTTCCTTGTGCTGCAGAGTAGCACTTGACATCTCATGAGATTTAGACCGTAATTTCACTCCAGATTAATAAACCCAAATAGTACAAGTCGGTTAATCGAATTGAAATCTGGCAACAAGCCATTGAGACTCTGGAATAGTGTTGGCTTCGATTTAATTCCAGTACCATGTCAGAGTCACACCAGCTTAGTGCCGGATTTCTGATCAATTAACCAACTTGTGCCATTCGGGAAAATTCATATTGCAATTCACAAAATAAATCGAAAAACAGCAACAACATTATAAAAGGAAATCATTAATGAATTTTCTTGTTTTTTATCATTTTAAAAATTTCTCCATGAATTATGTCTACATAACCTCACAATTTAAAAATTTACGTAAGTGATAATTGTTGACATTAATTTATGTTCTTTTGATCTTTTTTGGGACAGTTTTCAACTGTTTTGTTATCAACTCACGATAATTCTGCTTGACTTAATTGAATTCTGCCTCATTTTGCAGCGTTAAATTCGATGCACAGTCTACTCATGGTTCATTTATTCATATTAAGCAAATTGCAATTATTTCTCAGAATTTAATCACAAGAAAAACTGTAGAACAAGTTTTTGACATTACAAATCTAAGTTCGAATCTCAAAATCTTCATATTTAACATTGAAATAATTTAAAATAATTTAATCTTTTCCCAAATTTTTCATAGGTTATGAAACATCAGGTGAGCATTCTTTTTATTTTTTTAAAGCTTTAAAAATCAAATGTCTCAAAAAACATATACCAAAAAAAGCAAGACATTTTATGTGCTCCTTGATAAATGATGATGTCCTTTTATTCCACTGTAAAGTGTTAAGCGTTTGCGAAACTTTTGACTCTAACGCGATTGCTAGCTAATCCCGCAAGCTCACTGAGTTAAAAGCCCTTCTGAGCCGCATTTTTATGAATAAACGATTGCCAACTAGCACTAGGTGTTTCAGGTTTTTGCCTACCCGGCGGATTCCAGAATACAGCTTGTTGCGTTCAGATTAGTGCACAATTTGCAAAGCTTTTACCGAACTTATTATGAGTAAATAATTGCCAACATCACGTTTATCTTCCATTTTAAATGAATCATGAAACGAGAGGCAAAATAATAAATTTCGGTTATAAAGACCAAGAAAAAGAAGAAGAAAGTGAAAGCACGTGACATAAATTCCGTTAATTGAATTTTCTCTTACGTGATGAGTTCATTAAATGACTGGAATTATGTAAAAATTAATTAATGGATTTAATGTTTGAATTGCATAAAATATTATGATTGAAAGTTCAAGGCTAGACTTCTTCATAATCGTCAATATTTAAATGTCATGTTAAGCCGACATCAATCAAGACAATGATCTGCAATAAATCCATTAAAAAGTGCTTCCACAAATTATTCACTTTTACAACCTTTTAAGCTACAGTTTTCAATAAAAACAATCATACGACTGATTTAACAATGCGCAAGACATTCGAAAAGTTTAACCTTGAACTTCGAAAATATTCATTGTCAATTCTCTCTTTTTTTTGGTGTAGCTTCGTAGTCGTTTTTAATGTTAACAAATTGTCTTCTTTAATTGTTAAAAATAATTTTTGGATGTGACATCTTTTTGGCAAACAAATTTCTTTTGTTTATTCAAGAATCTTGCGAATTTCGCCATAATACTGCATTTTTTGGTATTTTTGAGTCACAACAGCAATTAGAGGCATGTTGACAACGTTTGAATAGCTTTAGAATCAACGCATTGTCTTTAAATTAACAATCAATTCTTATCCTTCAATTAACCCATCACAGCCACAGCAACAGCCCATTGTATCCTCCTTCTCGCACAACATCAAAATGTCCAAAACAAACTTGTCGAAGAAATCAATGAAGTTTTCGGAGCTGACGAAGAAATAAATCTAGAATCACTCAGCAAACTTCAGTACATGGAACGTGTCATAAAAGAAACTTTGAGAATTGCTCCTGTGGGTCCAGTCATCTTCCGAGAAACAATGGCTGATTTTGAACTTGAAAAGGGATTGATTATCCCAAAAGGAACAACTTTTATTCTTAATATTTATGCCTTACATCGTAGGAAGGATATTTGGGGAGAAAAGGCTGAAATTTTTGATCCTGACAACTTTTTGCCGGAGAATGTTGCAAAAAGACATCCTTGCAGTTTTATTCCGTTTTCAACAGGACGAAGGAATTGTATAGGTAAGGACTTTAGATGCCAGGGGGTCATCGGCCTATGCTGTGATGCAATAAAGGTTTGCAAGTGATTAGAGACTGCTAGATCTATACGAGTGTAGTCAGAGGGTCTTAGGTGGTTCAAAGTGGTCGAAGGAGATTCTAAACTGGGTATCAGCGAGAAAAAAGAGGGTCTATGGGGGTTTAAAGAGAATTAATTATGTCTAAGAAATCTGTGGGAAGCTAGAGGGTTTTAAGAAAGTCTAATGGGGATTTGTAGGAATCTAAGAGAGTCTTAGGGGATTAAAGGGGGTCTTTAGATGTTTAAGAAGTTCAGATCTACTTATTTTTGAGTTTTTTGACTAAACCTAATTAGCTATAGACGACTTTGTCAATTTTCTTAGCCACTAATTAGTAAGTCATTATTCAAAGCTATAGACATGGACGGCATTAATGAACAAATTAAAATAAAATTAAAATTAACATAATTTCCTCATTTTCCCATCCACAGGACACAGATACGCAATGATATCCATGAAAATCATCCTCACAAAACTCCTCAGAAACTTTAAATTCTCAACAGACCTAAAATATGAAGACATGAGATTTAAAGCTGTTCTTACACTCAAATTATGTACCGAGCATCTCGTATCAATTTCCAATAGATATTAAGATCTCTATCATTTGACAATTAAGTTAATGAAATGGGAAGAAAAAAAAGCTTCAATTAAGTCTAAGTGATGATGATGATGAGAAAGAAAGCAAAGAAGAATGAAAAGAGAATGGTGCGAAGTTGATGATTAATGAATGTGATTTTAAGATTAACGAATGAAAGGAAAAGTATTGAGACAATACTTGTGCTTAATTTTCTTAGAAACTTGAAACTTCTTTTTTTTTGTAATGTTAAGAAATTTCTTTATGCTGCTTTGTAATTTATGAGATCTAAATCTCGTGCTTTATTGCGTATTTTTGGGACCATGCTTTGTAGTTGTTAGTCATTCATATTATGCATGTGGAACTAATTTGTATTATGTATGAAAAAAAGTTATTAATAAAGACAGAAATAATTTAAAAAATTTAATTTGAAGTTTTTTGATTCAAAATGGTTCTTGATTCGATACCATAATGTAAAACCAAGGCTCCCGCAGATTACAATCTTTTTATGGGATAATTTAAAGATTATAATTTGCGTAATCTTTGTGCAAAGCATTGTGTGATCCCTGTCATATTAACAGGACTCTATGTAGTGGTTTGTGAGATTGTTTTCTTGTGAGAATCGAACTCACGTTCTCACAATTGAGGGTTCCAGATATTGGGTCTATTGCCTTACCACTCGGCCATAGACGCCTTTCTCTTGCAATGACAGATTCGTTTATAAGTGTCTCGATACCCCAGATTCCTAATCTTGACCCTCTCTTTGTGTCCCACTTCGTTTAAAGATGTATTTTGAATCTATTTGGCTCTAGTCCTCTTCGACAATGTGTAGGGGAAGTGAAAAATGGAATACGCTTGAAGACAATTAACTCCGAAAAGCACAAGTCGGTTAGTCGATACGGCACCAAGTAGGTCTGGCATGGTTCTGGATTTAAATCAAAGCTAGCACCATTAAATAGTCATGACAGTTTTACACCGGATTTCTATTCGATTAACCGAATTGTGCTTTTGGGGATCTAGAGTATCGTAAGTCCATCATATATACTTAAAACGAGAAACTCACTAGCCATATCAACCAATAATTCTATCTTACAAAAAACCAAACCCAACATCCTTAACAAAAAAAATCATTTCCACAAAAAAATATGAAAAGCTTCAAAAGCTCTTCAACAATTCCAACAATTCAATATTTACATCTATCACGTAACTGACACGAGCGAATGCCAAATTTATCTCAAAAATCTACGTGACTCGACACACAAAGATGATTTGCTCAATCTCAATATTTTTCCAGACAAGAAATACTTTTTCAATTTCATTAAATTTATTGATTCACATAAACTTTTGTGAGTTCGAAAGGAAATAATAATTTACAGCAGTGATGGACAACCCGTGTGCCGCGATAAAATTTAGGATATCCCACGAATCGTGTGATGTGTGCAGTCTTTGTCATGTCTTACTACTAAGTGTGCCATGCCACAAAAAAGGTTGAACACCACTGATTTACAGCATAAAGTATGCACGCTTCATATTTAATAATTTCGACTTTTTGTGCTTACTTCATTTATTTTTGTTAGAAAGTATACAAAAATTATTGCCGGTAGACGCAACAAAAAAAAGAAGTCTTAAGTGATCTTTATAAGATGAAATTTATATAAAATAATAAATTGCTCATGATACGATATTTAAGCATGGAATGCGATTTGAAAGTTTTCAGAGTGATGATGATGATTGAGCTCTATTTGTATATTGTTGATTACAAGTGAAGAATTATGAACTACAGCAAGGCTGTTATGGACTTAAATTATGGTGAGAATAGGAAACCACTTCGTAGGTATGAGAGTTATTGGCATGTGAGGACATGATGACAATAGGTTTGATGAATTGAAGTGTTTTATGTTGAGCTGTTGAAATATTGACTATCAAATTGACCACTGGTACCTTGAATGTAATGTTATGTGGCTTTAAGACTAAAGTTCCTTGCTTCATGTGCTAGAAGCTCTCATAATTATTTAATTCAAGTCATAATCTTCAATTTTAGACAACAATCTTAATTAAATTCAAATTAATTTCTCAAAATTGCACAGGAAACCAAATCCAAATAATAATTCAATCCATTCACCAGCAATTGCGAATCCGAAAGACTTTACGCAACAAATAATTTGCATTTAAATAGAAAACTTCATAATAATTCGCAATCAAATTGTTCAAAATACCACGAACATATGCAGCCTTTCATTTTCTAGCACCAGCAAAAAAAATCATCTGTTCAATTATTTCTACAAAAAAACCGCACAACGTATCCAAAACATTAGGGGTCGTTCACTTATGACGTCCAAAATTAACGGTCATTTTTCAAAAAAGAACAATAAATTTCTAGGGATTTCTATTGTTTTTTATTGTTGACAACCCCCCCCTGGACGTCATAAGTGAACGGCCCCTTATCGCATTACAAGATATTCCTATTGATGTTAATAGCTGTTAACATAAAGCTTCAACAAAAAAAAAAGACAGCGACAGCTTTACAAATGTAAATTGGTGTTTAGTTAAATGACATAATGATCATCTCATGATAATTGTCATAACAAATTATTTTTCATTGATCTGGTATACAGAGTGTGGCGTACATATGTCTTGTAATGATTTGCTGAAAAAAGAATAATTTTATGGATTTGTCGATTTATGAGATTAGATGTGGTTTCGCTGATGATTATGAGCTTATTTTTAAGCGATTGTGGTTTGGTTTGATTATCTTGGAATTGTTTGTGAGTAAAACATGTCAAGTTGATATTTGCAACTGTTTTATATGCTTGAAAATCATAAATTTGCAAATTATGGTTTGACGAACCGAAGCTCAAGCGTATCTTAAGTTTTATCAGCTAAAAGATCATCAATCACACAACTTATCAAGCCTCTCAACATTTGAATACAAAAACCCTAAATCATATTCATAGAATCTATTTAATTAATGCAATTTTACATAATTAAACCCAAATCTCCCATCCATGGCACCCAACAATTAAATGGTCAATTACATTTTGTTATTCACAACCCATAAAATTGAATAATCTTTAATTAGTAGCTTTATATGTTATGAAAATCATATTAGTAAGTGATTTTGTCACAAAACATTGCATGCTAGCTTTCTGTCTGTGAAATTAACTCGTGCAAGCATCCATATCTGTTTGGAAACGTAAATAATTATTTAAAAATGTTAATCTTTTGTGTCTTTAGTCTCAAACTATGAGTCATAAATAAATAGCTGAATACTAAGGAGGGTCCTAATCAGGGGCGTAGCCAGGAATTCGAAGGGAGTTTTTCATAAAAACTCTAGCAAAATGAAGAAATTTCTCAAGACGAAGGAGGATTTGTCCCCTAAATCCACCCACTGGCTCCGCGCCTGGTCCTAATGAAGTCTCAGAACACAAACAGGATTTGATAAATAATTTCAAGGATTTTGAAAGTCTCGGAAGCTGTAAAATCTGAAAATAAATGAAGCTAAGATGCAAATGAGTATGAAATGAATTAATCAAAGCTGTGAAATGACAAATTCTGCAAATGTCATTATTTAATAAATTCTCCTAATAGCGAAAGGTGCGTCTCAGGTACTGAAATGTCGTGGGCATTGTACGAATCTTTGTCATATTGACAACACTCTTTGAAAAATCAGGTCTCTCATGGGAATCGAACTCACGTCTTCACAGACTTCTTCAATCTGTTGTCTAGCCACTCAGCCACAAAGACCTTACTCTCGTACTGGCAGATTCTCCTCCTTACTCCAGATTCTATTCTGCTTAGACACCACAGCTACCTGCATCATTGATAGCCTCACAAGAAGTCAACAAAAATCCAGGAAATAAAATAACTTGATTTGGACACAACCAAAAATCTTCATTAACGATTAATTAAAGTAAAGAAGAAAAGAAACACACCAACAATGTTTTAATCCAAACAAGCATCCCATCCTATTATTAAATTTACGTAACGTTTATTTTTGTGTAGACAAAAGAATTCTATTTATAGTCGCATATGAATGACTTAACATGTTACATAATTTAACTATAGACTAGAAACGTTGGAACAAACAATTGCTCACAGCTCCAAGACAAAAAAAAAATTAGAATCTTTGACAAACACAGAAATTGCAATGAAGCAGTCGACCTTGATATGTATGAACATACAAGTTGCCGCGCTTAAGAGAGCTTTTTTTTGTTTTATTAAACCAAGTTAAATGTATGTCGCGGCATACTAAATAAAAGTTGATGAATGACCATAAATGTGTATGAATCAAGGGATAAGTATGTCAATTATGTGCGCACAAATATCCAATTGCTGACATTTTTAAGTGAAATTTTTACTGAATTCTTCGATTTCGAAGTCTTAATTGCTGGAAATAAAAGTTTTAAAACATGAATTTTGATTTTAAACAATTTTTTAATAGTTCAATAAAATGATTTTATTATTAATTCAAAATTTAGTTTGATTTTTCGATTTTAATTTTCGTAACAAAGCAGCACTTAGGTTGATTATTTGAAGCAAATACTACACGAATAGGGACAGTGGCCTGGCAAAAAAAAATTAAAAAATCAAATTAACAAAAATTATTATTTTTTGCTATTTTTTGGAACTAGTCATCATATTTTAGTAACTATTAGAAATTAATGGGTCATCCATAAATGATATCAAACTTTTGCGAATTAAGGGAAGTGACATTATGATGTCCAAAATTAACGGTCATTTTTCAAAAACGACAAAAACGACAATGGATTTCCAGGAATTTCTAACCCCCCCCCCCACCTTTCCCCTCTGGACGTCATAAGTAAACGGACCCTTATAAAATGTGTTAAAATTAATGGAAAGAATTGGTTCAAAATTCTGATTCTCTGATTGACGTCACTGACGAAGAAAGATTTATCACTTTGCAAAATTACAATACTAAGGATGTATTAATGAAATGGAACAAGGACTAAGGAGTGTTTCGCGAACTGACATGGCTAGTACAGCAAAAAAGCACCCAATCCAATTAAACTTTTGCTAGGAACCGTTAATACATTTATGAGCGACTCTCTATCAAAATTTGTGAATAAAACTTGTCATTCTATATTCAATAAACTTACCAATGGATATGTGTAGCTGACTTGAACACCATATGAGTATGTATTGTTAACTCCACTTTCAATAGGGCATGTCATGAATTTACAACCATTTGTGTCCATTCCAGGCCATGCCTTTTCACCAAAGGTAATAGCGTGAATTGTCACTGTAGAATTTTCAGCATCAAAGTCGGGTGTAAAATCAACAACCATTGATGCATTATTTCCTCGTTTCAAGCTACAATCTTTTGTTACATTAACATTGCATCCCTCAATTGCGACTCGATTAATCGCACAGTTTAAACCTACAAATTAACGGAATAAATAATTTACTATAATGAATTAATATTCTGTCGTATGTCCGAGGTCAAAGGTCAATGAAATTTTATGAATGAACTTTTGGATGATTTGAGGCCTAAGACATTCAAATTAATGAAAATTACCTCTATAAATGTTGTTATCGCCACATCTTGAAAATTTCATGTCAGTTAAACTCACAAAAGCTATAAATGAAAATAAAATCAAACTTGCGAATTTTCCTTTCATGATTTTCTAATTTTTTTGGGATCCTTCAATGACAAAATTTAAAAATGAACTGAATTTGCTGCTCAAAAAATGAAAAATATTTTATTTAGACTGCTGATAAGAAATAAATATTTTGAGAGATTTTTTTTTTGTAAGAATTATCAGTAATTAGTAATTCATACTCTAAATATGAATGTTCTGGTTTTTGAGTATTTAATGATTGAGAAATGCAGTGCTAAGTTCATGACTAATAAGTTTATTATAATGTTTTAAGAGGAACTTTTGTAAATGATGCTTATCAAATGACAAAAAAAAAATAAGAAATGTCAAAATCAGCACGAAAAATTAAATTTAATGTATGAATAATGAATTAAATATTTAAACTTATGAAGAATGAATATAGAATTAAGGATACAAAATAACGGTTTTTTAATTTTCGAAAATGGGCCCCCTTTAAAAATTTTCTGGCTACGCCTCTGGTACCAATCATAATAATAATAATTTGAAGAGGGGGAATATATTTTATATGACAAATTAAGGGGGGGGGGGGTGCAAAATGAAGAAATTTCTGTTAAAGTTGGAGGATTTTTCATCCAAACGCCCTCCCCCCCTACCCCTTTAGCTTTGTGCCTGATTGGCATCTAAGTCGACATGGGATGCCCCATCCTAGTCACAGTCAAACTTTACTCACATCCAATAAAAAGAAGCATAGATTTTTAACTCAAAGGAGGCTTTAGACACGCAACCATAGCTGCGCTTCAGCCCTTCTTAATCCTTTTAAAAAAAATATTTTTGAATTTTACAAAGCTTCAAAATTATCATCCTTTGGGTATGGTTTCATTTATAAACGACGCAAAAAAAATTGAAACAAGTAGACTTGTTGGAACAAATCCTAAAGACACTACCAACCACAATTTTTTCATTAAAGTTTCTTATCAACTGTTTGTTTGCCTCTATATTTACAAACATTTCAATCAAAATATTAAACAAAAATATTTACAATTACTTCATTTCAGAACCTATTTTTAAACATTTTAAAAAATTAACACAAATCATAAGATCCTTAAATATTTTGCAACCTAGCATGAACATTTATTTAAACCAAAAAAATGTTTTCTATAAAACCTTTGTGAGGTTTTCTCTCTTTTTATTTCTAATTCAGCATATAACTCTCTTTACAAAATCTTAAATTTATTCACAAAGCAGCATCGATTCTCTCCGTTTTGTTTCATTAACCAGCGGGTAGTGAAAATACCTTTTGGCTTCAAAACTCCAATGTTAACATTAAAGATGTAACTTTGTGGTTTGCCACTTTCAACTGGACATTTCATGAAATCACAGGCATTAGGGTTCATTCCTTCAAATGGGAGAGCATCGCTGCCAATAAGTGCATATGCTAGGAGAGTTATGTTACTTCCTTCAAAGTTTGGTGTGAATTTGACATCCATGTGGTAGTCTTCACCTCGGATGAGTTCACATTTGTCATTGTCTAGTTCACATTCATCGACTGACACTTCACTGATGGTGCATGGGATATCTAGATTGGGAGATGGAGATTTTAAAAATGAAGATTTTAATGATTATGTTGTTCGAGGAAATGGGGGACTGGATATTGATCAATATAATGGCGAATTTGTCAGTTTAGAAAAGAAGGCCTCTGTGACCGAAGTGGATATGCAACAAACCGGATAATTGTAACTCTCTTTCGATAAGACATAGGTTTGATTCCTACTAGAAGTTGAGAACTCGAACATTCGTGTGCTTTACCTGACATACTCTTGGGAAGCACGAGACTAGTGAATGAAAATTAATAAGCCCAACGAAGTATTGTAGATATGGCTCGAAGAGCATATCAAGTTCTCAAGATAGGCCTGAGCATAGAGCTTACAATGAATCTGGTTGTATGTGTATGAAGGATAGCCAAAGTAAGATAAGTACCTCAGTCCCGAGTGGCAGGAATCTCTGATCGAAAGGTCAGAGATCGCCTCTTTTCAGGTCGTGAGTTTGATTCCCATTGAACCCGTGTTTTACATTAGCATATACATAAAGCAGTTATCGAGAGATCTACATGAATCTTAATTAAAATTCTAATTGCCAGACTAGAGACTATGTATTAATTACAAGACACACCGGTCAACTTCTAGAAAAATTAGAAAAAACTCACATGCTGACCTTAATCACGTTTGCAGGTCAACTCCTTCTTCTTTCCCAAAAAAAAGAACTTCTTCTCAGTCAATTTTTTTAAAATTCCAAAATTCCTTCATTACCTTCAAAATTTTCACCACAATCCTGTATTGGAATTTTAACATAATCACACAGCATCGCTGGCACCAGACACAAAACCAAAATAAAAACTTTCATCCTTGATAACGAAAATCTTTTTCACTCTTTCAAGTTCAATGTCTGAAAATCGACTGTGAGCTGTAATAAATTATTGATAAGGCAACAGACATGAGAGAAACTCGAGACTCTTTTGTGACAACAAAAATTATCATCTTTTTTATTCAATTCAGCTCAATGTTCTCAATTTTTTCTTTCAGGCTTTGGTAAAAAAAATGAAAAAAAAAATTCTCTCAAATTTGTTTGTAAAAAAAAATCTCTAGAGTCGAAATTTCATCTATTTTAAAGCTAAATGTTATCAATGTTACAATAAAAATTAAGTAAAATATAAATTTTAAAATACTTTACATGTGTGCATATTTATCAATATTGTTCATGATCATGTGTGTATGATTTTAATTTATAAAATCTTTTGATGTGTGCATGGAGACGTAATTATTTAGATTATTAATAATTTATAGGGCTAAGAATTTAAAATTAATTGAAATTTAATTGTATTTATATAATTTCGCATGAGAGAGGCTTCTTGGAGTATGACAATGTTGCGTTCTAGCTCTGGTAAATGATATTTTTAGGTTGTGGATATGATTGAATGGATTATGAACTATATTTTGAAGTAGATTTGGAATTTAATGAAGATTTTATTGGATATGAAACTGAAGATGAAAGACTGTATTTTAAAACGATGACTGTAAAATGAAGACTTTGGTAGCTTAGAAGCTTAACAAAGAGTTAAGCACACGCAGTCATGATACTAGTTCTGAACTTTGAATAAATGTAATGTCATGAGTATCATTGTCATTGTACGAATCCTTGTCATATCGTAATGAATTGAGAGATCGTTCTCTGGTGAGAATCGAACCTACGTCCTCTTAAAAGAGGATTACAAATTTTCGATTCTTTTGTCTCACAACTGGCGCCAAAGAAGACTAACCTTGCACTGGCAGATTCGCTTATACATGGTTCAATTTCTACTCAGACACCACAATTTTGAGCATTTAAAAATAAATTTCATCCAAAATCATAAAAAAATGAATTAAAACTTTAACGACAATTTAATATTTTTGATAAAATCTAAAGAAAATTCATTCAATAAATATCGAGAAGATGGAAACAATATCAAATGTCTGTAACTCATCCTTTGACTAAAATATTAGTATCTGAACCCTTTTAAGAATCAATATTTCACAGTATGACAATTTTATTTGATAGTATTAGAATTTGAAAGATTTCACATCTTACTTTATGTCTATGTCATTTATGAAAGATTTATGGAAGTCTTATTGATCTTGAAATTGATTTTTTATGATAATTTGTGAGATTTATTATGTTTAAGACTCGATGAGTCCTTTGAAGTCATTATCATTGCTGCAGTATGTAGAATGCAGCTGTAATATCACTTTTGAAGGCAACTACAATAATACATATTAATTCAATCTAAATAATGAACTAGAACCAAAATTAATGAATGGCACAAGTCGGTTAAACAAATATAATTGCCAGTATGGCTTCGATTTAAATCCAGCACCATGCCAGTGTCACACCGACTTTGTATCGGATTTCTGATCGATTAACCGACTCGTGCCATTCAGGATTATCTGATCTTAAAGCCATCAAATCACTTCCACCTCTCTCAAGAACAATCAAAATTTCATTAAAAATTCAATATTTTTGGAACTGATCAAGTCGTGTCATCCAAAAATATTTGGAAATAGCTATAAATCAATAATTAAAATTAGATTAGCATGATAAAAATGAACATAAGAAACTTTAAGCTTAAAATGTGCAATTCTTATAATTTTGTTTCCATTTCTTTCTGCATTGCACACTTCCGGCCTTAGATATTGAACTAAGTCAAAAACTAAAGTTAAATCTAGTAATTATAACTACACAAAATAATCGTAAAGCAACAGGCAGCACAGATTTTCTGTCCATTAATCATGTACTCTTGCCACGTTTTTCTAATTTATATACATTCATGTATCCTTTTCTACCTTCTTACAACCCCTGATTTTCCACTTGCTAAAATATTTTCTTTTTTCACAACGTTAAAAAAAATTATTAAAATTAATTATCGCGTACGTATCTTAAGGTTAAATACAGCATAATATCTCATAATTATGTCTAAAAATAGCAGACTGCATCCCATTCTATGAATCAGCTAGGAGAGCAGGTCACAATCAACAATTAAAATTAATGATGATGAAAAAAAATTAATTACGGCGTCAAAAGTGACTTAAACGATGCATAGCGTCTTATCTTTTACGAGAGAGATTTGTGCCTCTTGGAGTATTCTTAAACGTGGTCCCAGTGGTACGCCTAATTTTTGTAGACGCTCTTCGCCAAGATATGGTAATTCAATCATTCCAACGCGTTCTTTTTCAAATAGGACCGCATATTTCTAAAAAGTAATCAAAATTTCTCATTAAAATATGAATAATTTAAGCTATAAATCCAATTTCTCACCTCATATCCCAATTTCTTCAAAAATAATCTCATCAATGGTGGATCCTCGCCAAAGAATTTTGTTAGCTTCTTTACTCTCTTTGGGTTTGTTAAATTTGGTCCATCAACTGTATCATTATTCAAATTATCAGCTGATTTGTTGTGGAACTGCGACTGTTGAATGCGAAAGTTCATTTCTTGACGAATTTGTTCAACCTCTTGTGTTACAAGATGCTGTGATCTCATCTCACTAGATAGATGAGCCACACTTCTCGCAAGAGTAACTACGTGTGATTCAAGTCGTTGGAAGCGCTTGTTGATACCCTGAATAGTGAATGGAATGTCATCATTTTTAAAAATTACTGTTTTGCTTGTAGTTTCACACCCTTCTATAATTTCATACCCTTCTGTTATAGTTTCACATCCCGTTATAATTTCTCAACATTGTAAAGTTTCATACTCGGTTATAGTTTCACACCCCGTTATAGTTTTTACACCTTACTTTAGTTTCACATCCTGCTAAATGATGTAGTTTTATTTCTCAAATAAATATTATTTATCAATTATTTCTTAGTTTCAAACCCCTTGACATTTTTCATACCTTTAGAAACCCTTTCACACCCCTTGACATTTTTCATACCCTTTGAAACCCTTTCACACCCCTTGATATTTTTTCACACCCCTTAAAACCCTTTCACACCCCTTGAGCATCATTCTACTCAACATTCTCCATAAAAATCGCATACCTTGATATCTCTAACCTTCCTCCTTTCATCAGTTCGTCGTCTATCTCTAACCGGTCGTCCACTAACAGAACTGCTTGGCAGTGATGATAAGCTACCTTGTCTTCGTCTCATATTTCTCAAATGTCCACCACGTCCACCGAGCATTTTCAATACTTCAGTGTACATCGTTTCAAGGCCTTCAAGCTGTGATTTAATGTGCCTTAAGCCTTGTGTATCAGTCTCCGAATCGCTTACTGATTGTCCAGCACCCCATGGTCCGCCTAATAAAGAATCTAAATCGAGTGACCTAGTTGTTGTAGATGTTAAATCGTCGAGACCAAATACTGAAAAGAATTAATTGAAATGTTATTAATCTTATAGGCAATAGGCAGCAGTTTTAACTTACAATGTCGCTTCATCATTGATTGTTCATGCTTTTTCGTTATTGATGATCGCATTTGTTCACCGCGCTTTTGTACCAAAGAACCGGGTAAGCCACGTGATGGTCCAATTAATTTATTTTTTCCGGGTCGGTTGTAACTGTCAGTTCCATACTCTGGTTTCTTGGATGTCTGCACACAACATAAAATTAAAATTCAAGACAAAAGAATGGAAATTGAGAGATTTTAAGAACTAAGATAAGAAGAAATAATTTACCTGTGGTGCTGACTGTTTACTTGAAGTTCCACCTTTATTTGTGATTGTATTACTGCTCGTCGTATGTTTATTAGTATCATTTGTATGCTGTACACTTCCATCCGGTGATGTTGGTGGCAATGGTGGAGATATTGACGATAGACTACCGGATATTGTACTCTCCGGTCTTAAATTTAAATTCTGCATGCCAGGCTCAAGAATGTGTCGTAACTCAGCATCAACAATATCAATCCATTCGCTGTCATTTGATTTGGGTCTTAATTGTGGTACGGGTGTATCAGAATGATCTGGACTAGTGTCATGCTGTGCTTTACGGCCACTCGAATATGCTGCTGAGCCACGACCAGAATCAACATTCGAACTGTGATTTCCACTTTTATCGTAATCGGAACTTGCGGCAGATCCTGGTAATTTTCCATTATTTTGAGCTGATTGTTGATCGAGCGGTGAGATTTGTGAGGCTGATGATGTTGGTGTCGATGTCTCAAGTGGTTTCTTCATCTCTGGTTTTGGTGGGTGTTCATAATTTGGTACTAATTTCTTCTGCTGTTGTGGCTGGGTCATACTTAGATTTGGTTTTGCTGGTGGAATTGGTGGAACTAATTTTTCCCCTTTCTGACTTAAATGTAAATGATCTTGACTGAACGATGATCGGATATTTTCACGTTGTAGCCAATCGGATGGTGTTGTAGCTCCACTATTTCCATTATGATGTTGATGCTGATTAAGATCAACTTTTTGAGTCATATAAACACCGTCTGGAATTTGACCATTTTGCAAATGTTGTTGCTGTGGCGTTAAATGATGATAAGAATTGGATGAAATTTGTTGATAATGTCCATTTGTTATTATCTGTTGTGATTGAGCTAATGGCTGTGCCATCGAACTTCTTTTAATGTAATTCTGTTGTTGTTGATGAATGATTTGTTGTGCTGGCTGTTGCTGATTAGGTGGTCTCCACATTTTATTTCCAGCAAAGCCACCTTCATCCGAATCAGTTACATCAATATTTGCTAATGAACCTCGTCTATCATCTGGTTGATGCTCACGTAGTGGTAAATTTAACTGTGGCTGTGATGCCGCACGATGTTGATGAATGGAAACTCGTGTAGCAATCATATGTGGATACATTTGTTGCTGACTATTCATATCTATTTGTTGCTGTGTAATTTGAACAGGTGAATCCCGCATAATTTGACGATTCCCGTTCCATACTTGCGTCTGTTGCGATGATTGATGATGATTTTGACCATTCCATTGTTGCTGCTGCTGTTGAGGCATTTGGATGTGTTGCTGCATTAAATTGTAATAAGGTTGATTTCCAATTTCTTCGTTCTGATAATTCTGTGATAACTGATGCTGTTGCTGTATCGTTACATTATTAAGCTCTTCCGGTGTCATATCCGCTGTATCCTTTTTGAATTTTGATGAGATTAAATCTTTAAGTGTATGGTATGTTTTGCTAACTGCATTCTTTGATTCCCTCCCATCTTTTCCAACGCCCATTTCCCTTTCAGCCAGCGCTGTTACATCTTCCGGTAATCTCGTCGGTGCTCTCGGAATCGCTCCAGTCATCATCGATATTTGACCTTTGTCGAGATTTCCATTTTGTGAATTCTAGTGCACGTGAAAGAAATACCAGATAATAAAATAAAAGATTAAAAAATTAAGTCACTGACATTATAATGTCTCATTAATCATTTAGCGCATGAGAAAGAAGAAGACTCGAAAGACATAAAAGGGAGCGACATTTGAATTAAATCAACACAGCAAGTGAATAAAAAAATCTCTCTATTAATTGTGAATGTGCTTATTATGCTCTCTCTATATTATAATTTCTTTAAATAGTCTTTTTATGATCTCCATCCTCTCTTGTTACTTGTTACTTCTTTCACTTTTCTTATTCAATTAATTTTACTTTCTGGGCTATTATACTTTGTTGTTGTTGGATTCATTCTTAACTTAAGATTGTTTTATAGGAGCATTTTTGGATTTTGAAGGTTTGAGTCACTTATAGGCGAATTTGCCAGTGCTAGAGTAAGTTCTTTGTTATCAAATGGTTAGGCATAAGGCTGAACATCTATAACCTTCTCTATTAGTATCTAGGTTCGATTCCTAGCAGAAAAAGTGTGTGGAACTGATAAAAAATATTCAAAAATGATCAAAATGTGTTTTATTAGTTCCAAACCCCTGACCAGAAGTCGATCTATTAACAATTCTATTTAATATCGTGGATATGTATAGAATTCACGACAGAGGAGTATCTCTTATCACTGTAAAGATTCTAGATGGGAAGTTACACTAACATTCTTAGTCGAAATTTACAGAATTTAATATTTTGACCAGCACGAACCAGCATAGCATTCAAAAGCATTCTCAAAATGCACATCCTTTTGTTGACATTTACGAAAAATTCCCAACACCTTAACATCCTGAATTAAATATTCTATCAACGACACCATAAAATTCTTCAATCCTTTAATTCCATTTCCCATCAACCTGCATAATAAATGCGTTTCATGTCACCTGTCATCGACTATACTCACAACATTCTTGTTCTTTTCCCCTAACATGCTATGCAATAATGTAGTTAAGTTGTAAAAGACATAGACACAATGTAAGAAGATGGATACGAAATAAAATGACTAATAAAAAGGGACTTTAAATGACACGGTCAACATATTGTAATCTGAGATCATGTGAGTGGATCTATTTACTTTAAAGGCAGAACGTACACAAAAGGAGTATAAAAAAAAAGAAAATAAAAAAAAAAGTTACATCCGCAAAATAAAAAATACATTTAATACCTCGAACAGAAGAAAATTGAAATTGAATATTCCATCCAGCACACACAAAAAACAGAGATTGCTTTATAGTTTTAACAAACAAAACAGCATAAAAAAAGATTGTAGGAAAAAAATTGTTGTGTGAGAAATAAAAGACGATGTTGAAGCCTTTGTTTCCCATGAACATTCCAGCACAGTGTGTAAGAGAGTAAAAGGTGTTTAATGCAGAAATTATTTCGGAAATTTATTCAAGACTGAATGTGAATTGAGGAAGAAAAAAAGGAGTTGGATGGGGATCGTTCACTAGTGACGTCCATCATCCTTCCAACCACCTTTTCAACAACATTTTTGTCTACAGAATCATCAAAATGTCGCAAAGTCTAAGAACTCATTCGTCATTTCATAATTGACGTCATTAACGAATGACACCCCCAAAAAAGAAAGAAGCAAAACAAAGAAGTTCAACTAATTATGAATGTTTAGCGTTTGTTCAATGACATCGCAAATTTGTTTAATTAAATTACTAAGATTTCGTAAATAGAGATTTATTGCGGTTTTTTTTCAGAACAGGTTCAGCAATGTTTTCTTAAGTCTTAATTAAGTTTTTGTGGTTTGCAAAGAAAATTATTAGTTCCACCTTCGTCTAGACATTTTTTTGATGAGCAGAAGGAATAATTAATCAGAAATTTAATCGAAAAAATTTCATCTAGTGTGGTTTAGACTGAAGAATGAGGTGGTTATCTGTCTAATTTGGATGATGATCTGAGTTTTTGAAAAAGGTAAGTTTAGTGTGTGGTATGGAGTCGTTTAGGAATGATGTGGAATCTTTAAGACAGGCGCATAGCCAGAAGAGGGAATTTTGGGATCAAAAATTTCTTCATATTGTTAGGGTTTTAAGAACAATTCGCAAAAATACCACCCCCCCCCCCCCCCTGAATTTTTTCATACAAAAAAATTTGTTGTACCCCTTTTCAAATTCTTGGCTACGCTCCTGCTTTTAGAAAATGAGTGCTTTAGTTAAACCTTCGGTCTTGAATTAGTGGCGTGTCATCTAGCTTGTGATCATTTTTGATTTGAGTTCGACAACCCTGATTGGCTGGTTGCGAGGGCTACTCAAGCACTCCCGCCATTATATCGATGAATTTAACTTTAAGATGCTTACAAAAGTTTATTATAAGGGCGATAGATCTAGAAGCAAGCCTACGAAAGGCATAAGTCGTCCCTCGAACGATTTTCGTCTAAACATCTATTCCAGGTTATTGTGTAAGGTTTTCAATCTCGGGTTTAAAATGTACTGAATCTCAGTTTTGATCCCGGGATTACATACATTTCAATCCCGGGATTGAAAACCCCTTTCTTGTGAATGCCACTTTTCGCAATAAAGAATCTTTCAGCATGTGATAAGAACATAATGTCTAAGATCTGTAGCTTATTAGGACTCTGCCCTCTTGATTTAAGAATGTTTCTGGGTTTATCCTACAATGTGAAACTGTAAGCACTTCAAGTATTTTGAGCAGAGACAAAAATAAAACAATAACCTATAATTAAAGGCATCAATTTGACTCCATGAAGCCCAAGAACAAACCAAACTGTACTTCTTTCAGGCTTAATCTTCAGAATTAATACTTCTCAATAATGAACCTCTAAAAGTGAGTCTCGAACCTCAATTTACCTTCTCAGTGCTATCATTTTCAAAACAACAACTAGTCTTCTGTAGAGCCAAGCATCTACAGCTTGCAGATGAAGGTATGGATCTATTCTGATGTTAATAACAGTTAACTTAGAATCATTAACCAAAATTTTAATATAAATCAGGACACATCATTGTTATTATGCATTTTTCAAGCAGAAACATTGAATGACAACTAAAAGAGCTTCCAAAATAAAATTTCCCTTCTGCATGCCATTTATGAAGCACCTCTTAAGTGCAATGACCATAATAAATAGAAGATTGACATTGAAAAGTTTCTACCTAATGGAAAAGTATTTCAAGCATTTAATCATAGGTTGACATAATATGATATCATCCATGAGTAAGCATATCCGACCTTTCTCACAGATCAAATATACTTTAAACTGCTGAAAATCAAGTTGCTTCTTTCATTTCATATTAAAAAGGTCAGTTAAGGCAAGCTTCTTACTTTACGAAATTGAAGGTCGAGGATTGTCTTTAAGGAAATCTTTAATAATTTTCATCAATATTTAGCATGAGAATCTTCAACATCTGGTGCCTTTATATCTCACATCCAATTAGTAATTACTACAGAAACTTTTCCGAAAGCTAAACAAGAATCTATTATGATAATTTATTGACCATAAATTTCTTGAATCTTCCACTTGCTCCATCCAATTCCTTATTAACTTCTTTTTGTTCTTAACAAGTGTACATTCAAACTTACATTGAACATTTCTAGAATGCTAAATTAACACATAATCATAAGAATTTATGAGCCTTATTGAGAAACCCGATAATCTAGGAGCTCCGATCTGAGAAAGTCAAGTCAAGTGTATTGGATATCCAATTAATATTGCAAACACAATACTTGTACTGAGGTGCCTTATCTACAACGATATGTGAATATATTTCATCATTAATTCAAGTGGAATTGGTATGGATATGAACTGTGCTTTTTTTTGCTGCAAACGAGACATGAAGATAGAACGAATCAAGTGTTGTACCTGTCAAGATCCGTTGATGTTGTTGTATTAAATTTGATTTGAAAGTTATGAGCTGGATTGAATTTATGAGGTTTGCTTTAAGGTTCTTTAAGATTTGTTCTGAATTTTTTTGGTGAAAAGTTGATTTTGTATTGGGAACAGATTTGAAGGTTGTTTAAAAATGATGGAACCTGATTGAAAATTGCAACATCAAGTTACAGTGGGTCAACAAGAGTTATGGCGCTAGCAGTCAGTGCTTTGTTTAATAAATTTTTCGTTTTGGGTCTCTTAACTTTATGATTTTGGGTTCGAATCTCAACAGAAGCAAAACTAGTGGTTTTCTAATTATAAATCTGAATTAACAGCCATCTGTAGCCATTCTGCAATCAAGGTCTGAATATTGGTTTTGGGTAGACTTTGAGACTAGGAAGTGGTTTGAAGTTCGAATCCCACTATATAAATTCAAGTTCTCTATTTAGTATTATCAAGCTAAGGTCCTGTCATACATCTCAAATAGTCCATTTAATTAAAGAACGACTAGTCAAGACTTTCCTTAAAATCCAAACAATATTCACAAAATTAAATTCACGAATGCATGTTTTTAAAAAAAATGATAATTTCCTTCCAGCACTTTCTGTTTACGAGATTTCCACAATTTATGAATTATTCATCTCATAACTTCAGGCTAAATATTTAAATGAGTTTGTTAAACACACAAAATCATCTCCTTTAAAGCATCATTTCCTTTAAAATGTCTATAAAACCTTAAAGTACTTTAAAATCAACAGAAAAATTTTATTGCATACCCAAAACAACACTTAAGAGACTTGAAGTAAAAAAATTTCAAAGTCAATGTCACCGAAACTTTTATCTTGAAGGCAATTTTCACAACATTCTTTGGTGTAATCACAAAATACTCCTTTTCGTCACTTAAAGCTCTTCTTTATAACCTTCATCATTACCGTCTTCAACAAACTGTTGAGCGTACACAATAAAAAAAATGTAACAATGATAAGAACTTTAGACTGTATTTTATATTTTTTGTGTCTGCGCTTCTTGGAAGAAAAGAGAAGCAAACCTGATAACAGTAATAAAATGTGTACACACAAAAGGGGTCATTCATAAATGACGTCTTCCAAAAATTAATTTCTTCAGAACTCCCAACACACTGCT